GTCATTATGATAGTGTAGTATTTTGGTATTTTTTTTACAAAGTTCTGATGAATATTATAAATTAACCTGAACTGAATGAAATACATCAACAAAGACTGACACAGTTTTGAAAAAAATCAATGTCAACATGTCTTTTCAAAAGTATACTGTACTGTTTGTTTAAAAAGGTTTGTGAGGTACTAATGATGCACTTTTTTGTGCCTTATCATGGGTCTTTAGTTCGTGGAGGGCTATGGCAGCGATTCGTCCATCACCAATCTCTTGGATCGCATGCACTGGTACATCTTGCCAATGTTCAACCCCGATGGTTACGTCTACACCTGGAACGGGGTGAGATCTTGGGTCGAGGCCTCTTCACAGGGGGAGAAACAGTTTAATTCACCCTTACTATTCTATATCTTCTAACTGTTAGAGGGTTCGGTCTTGCTGGGGTAAATCCAATCGGTCTCAATTCCGGCAGCGAAGTCCTAACGGGGTGATTAATGATATTGGCTTTTAATGGAGCAACTTGTGACTTAACTTGGGACCTCAAAATGTGTGATTGGCTGGTGCTTAGAACTTCTTGGCTTGCAGTAAATTACAAATGGAAACGTACTCTAACTTTAAAGTTATGTTAAACGTTATTGCGTTCCATACAAGCACGGCCGGCAGTCCATCGAAATCTGAAAGTGCATTTTAGGTTCGTTACACAAACTCCCAGTAAATGCCCTGAATACCGGGTAACATGAGGAAGACATCAGCACAATTTAAACACCGAACTTGCAACAGAAAGGCGCAGTAGCCTACTTCTCCCGCCTTGGATGTAATTTAAGAGATACGGTGCCACCAACTGTCGACCTTTACACCTTCACGACCACGCCTTCATATGCCATTGGAACCACACGCCACGGCGCAGCTTGTTTGTTTTGCAGATAAGAAGTACACATACTCGGAGATATAAGTACTAGTACGGAGAAGTACAGGTACTCGTGCTTGCAAACCAGTACTTGTACTTGGCTGGCAAAGTACTTGAACGTTCATGTACTCGGAAATCTAAGTAGGCATACTCGGCAGTGCTTGGTACTCGGAAAAAAGTACTCGACTACAACACTGCCATTTTATATTGAGTGTTTGTTCACAGAATAGGTTAGGGGAGGTTGGCATTTGATTTTCGGCAGGACCATATTTTTTGGTGTAAGGTAAATCTTCTTTGGACCTTTGACCGAATTGCAAAAGAGTTTATAACACTTGAAAGATTTACTGTTTAACTGGCCACCTTGGATAATTTCCCTGCGCTATAGGACCGCATGTGGCGTAAGACCAGATCACCCAACTCAGTCTCTGCTTGCGTGGGAACCGACCCTAACCGTAACTGGGACCACCAGTGGTGTGGTGAGTTCACTTCAAAACATAGAATTACAGCGAAAAATTGTGACTGATCACTAACCAACATGTGTACCTGAGAAAATGAATATACATGTAACGATACATCAGGGTGTATTCAAGCATACTTAAACATCAGTGTTGCCTTTTCATGCCTCTTATTTGAATAGAAATGGATTCGAAGATTTTATTCTAAATTGAAAATGAAAACGCCAAAGATGTGTTTGTTGTTAATTTTCATTTCTGTTTAAAATTGCGCATCTGATAATGTCATTAACATTGTAAGTTAATGTATTTGATGCTAAGGTCGAAGATCCAGATAATAATTTTAAAAAGATCCAAACCCGAGCTCTTGTAAACAGACTTTTGCAGAAAATAGTCTCTTTTCAGACAGCTCTTCTGCATTCCACCTTCTGTAGTGACTGGTGCCAGCAGGTGGCCCTGCTCTGACACGTACTGCGGCACGGCTCCCCACACTGAGATCGAAGTCAAAACGGTGACAGACTACATCCTCACCTTGAGTAACGTCCAGGCGTTCGTGGACTTCCATTGCTACAGCCAGTACTGGATGGTTCCGTGGGGGTACACCAGGCGACTCCCCGCCAACTATGCAGCGCAGGTGAGGCTAATGGGTGAGCTCCGTGCGGGACATGGTGTGGATTGGGATAAAGCTACATACTTGTATCATGATTTAATAATAGCTCTGTGATTGGGAACGACATCATGACCATGTGGGTGTGGGGACCACCCTTCTGCGTGCAAGTGCCCGTACCGGATGCATGTACGCGATTTCTGTTACGATGTACATTTACTGTACATGTACCAGCCAATGTATATTGGAAACAAAATGGCAGTTCATTGTGTGTGCAGTAGAGCGTGCGCTTTTGTATTGTATACCAACTGTCCTTGTACACTGATGCGTAGACCTGCCTGCTTGTTTCCGCCAATGATGACGCTTATGTCGCAACTCTCTCTATACAATGCGCACACGACTCAGCTGCCTTAAGCAGAAACACCCCCTCATCGGCTGACAAGGAGCTGGGTCCAGGTCTTAGCTCCATTGCAAATACACAGAGACACGCTTACAGTAGCCGGAGCTGATGAAGTCTATTTCGGACACGACCTACCAAAAAAAAATTAATTAATTAATTAATAAGAATAAAAAAACCGAAAAAAAACGAAACAGTGGACTGTAAAGATATAACGGAAATAATCTCTTCTTTTCTAGAAAGCACTAGCAGACAAGGCCGCAGCTGCTTTGTCGTCAGTGTATGGTACCCAGTATGTCACCGGCAGCATCGCCAATGTCATCTGTAAGTTTTCCAGTTTCATATGGGACCACACTAAGTTCCTGCTTTACGTTAATCTATCTGAAGTACGGCGGATGAAGTAGAAAGTCGCTGTTTGAAGTGGATGAGTAAGGCTCGGTATTCAGTACCATGCAAGGTGTTTATTTCAATCAATTGGGCGGATGGGAGGCAACGGGAACCACCCCAAAAGGAGAACAGCTCTTTCTGAAAACAACGAAAGCGACGATTTGTCGAGAATATTTTGTATCAAATTCCTTCCAAAAGCGTGGAAAAAAGCCCAACAATTTAGCTTCAAACGTCAGAAGGTGGTGCTTAAATTATTATAAAGAGAAATGTCCAGTGCCCCCCCCCCCGAGAATGTGTTTCTCGCTATGTCTGCCCACGGACCATTTCTGCCATACTTAAAATTGGTCAGTGGTTCCAACATTTCTGAATATCATTTTTGTTTGACGTTCACTTCAGCAGACCTGTACATATAGACACAATCAAGTACATTAGTAGCCATTATGTAGGAACAATGATGGGCTGCCAGTGGAGATTTGAACGCCAAACTGGTAGAATACAGCTTTGGGTGGGGCTTTCTTTGAGGGGTGGTTTAAATACCTCAAGTGGAGGGGGACGTTCCTTGGTGATCGTGTTAGGGCCTACGTAGACGAGGGATAAAGAAAGTTCGCGTGGGAAAATGTTGAACACAGTGGTTTGCAGTGGAACTGTTTGCACGCGACAGGGCGATAAAGCCATCGCGCAGGATCCTGAACAATATTTCAAAGCTAATCAGCGCTCTCGTCAGGTCTGATATCTCGCCCTGACCAGCATGGTTCAGCCGTACCTCGTCGTGTCTTGGGTTCTTCCTGTGTGACGCGAACTCGTTGGTATACACGTGATGATTTACAAACCAAGCAGGCTTCTACTGGGTTTCGTGTAAAATTTTATGTAAAATACCGCAAAGCCTTTGAAATGGGCCCTTTATAAGGCAGCTGCTCTCCATGCTGGTCGACTGCAACATTCCGTTTTCCTTTTCTACTTAAACAGATGAAGCCTCTGGCTCCAGTGCCGACTGGGCTTACGGCGTGGCTGGCATCCAGTACGCCTTCGCTCCAGAGCTGAGGGACACTGGGTCGTACGGCTTCCTGATGCCATCCAGGTTCATCCGCGAGAGTGCAGTGGAGACCTTCGAAGCTGTCAAGGCCATCGGAGACAACTTCATCTAAGGAACAAACTAATTAAAGCGAAGTTTACTGAATCCGTCGAGGATTTCAGTGCCTGCTACAAAGCATATTGACCTTTCTCCCGTTTTACAACTATCAAGTTTTATGAGAATGTTATTAGTTTAGTTTACGAATATGATGTTACGCAAGGATTGAAAATTAAAAATGGAGGAACTTGGCACACAGAAGCGACAACTCTGAACGAAGTTTTTTTTCAAATTCATTGGTTGATATTGTTCTAAATATCAAGATTGTTTCTCCACTATCCACGTGTGAGATAGCAACCCTTTTTAAACACAGTGTATGACGGTTGCCTCATAAGCGTCATCATACAAAAGCGACTTGATAACCTAATAATTCACCTGCTAGAATCCCATGGTATTATTCGAATCTGGTTATCCTCGCTTGCGAACCTGTGGAGGATAATTAAGAACACAAGTGGTGCTTTGAAGTCTTGTGTTTATAGTTATCTTCCTTCCGTGCACGTTCAGGTTGGAACCGAGGTTCTGCACGGGAGGCTGGAGGCCACGCCCCCTAGGAGGTGTCGAGGCCATCTACCCTTCGGTGCCTGACAGTCAGACATTGGCGCGAGAGAAAAAGAGAGCTGTGCTGTGTTTGGTTTTCTCTAAAAGAGCTTGGTTTTTATACGGACCTTCTCACAGCCGTCAGGGAGTCTGCCACAAAGATCTGAAAGGTGTCATGTCCGATCTTTTTAAAGCTTAGCATGCCTGTAAAAACATTCAATTAAATCAACATAAGGTTTTGTTGAAATGACTGTCCATACGCTCGTTGGCACGCGCTTAGCTTGTCAGTGGACAAAGTTAACATTTTAAACCGACCAGTACGAGAACTGCATTTTCAATTCTCAAAGAATAAGAACTCATGAAAGTGCGGCAAGAAAGAACACACACACACACCCACACACACATGGCAACGATATCGGAGAAAACTTGAAATCTTGAAGCGAACGCAACCTATCCGCCTTGAGCAGAGGCACCCCTCATCGGTTGAACTGAACCAGGTTGGCAGAGATTGTTCATTTTGCTGGTAGCGACGCGACAGCTACGCGTGTTTCAAAATCGTTCGTGAACCATCGAAGTGCAGTTCCGACCAAAGGAGCCTCAGTTGATAGGAAAATGCCCATGCTCGGGGGCCCATACAAGCCACATAGTACATTTCCGTCAGTGCCTCCTTGACAAAATATGTGCATCCCCAGGTGCCCCTTTCCCGCAATTTCACCCCGGTTCTGCCTCTGCACTGAAAGCATATTACAGAAAAACGAGGACCTTAGGTGTGTGGTTGTCTTCTGTGAGCTGCATTTCTTTGCATAGGCCATTATAATGCCCCTCAACGTAATGATGTGAACACTTCAGCCAAAAGCCTCACTTTTCCATTTTGCCTAAACAGTGATGAAGCCTCGCTAAACGTGGAGTGCCTGCACCGATTCACATTATATATGTTTTGTGCATGGTGATGTTGGTTGGATATGGAGATACAAGTCATAATTGGTAACAGGAATGCATTTTTATGTACAGTGCGCTTTTCCCGTTTTACGTCGACTTTCGGGTTAGGTTTCATTTGCGGGCACTCTGGTTCCTGGTCCCATGCCACCCGTAAAATGCATACCCCTGTTCAGGTTGACAAGCCTAAAGATTTCAAAGGTTGTAATGATCTTAGAAAAACACTTTAGCTCTTGCGGTCTTTTCCCTATGTGACGGTGCGGAGTTAATGGCAATGCCGATGCTATGGGTGACGGACTCGGTTTCCTTCTTTCGATACGCGATTCCACCATGGCCCTCAACAGGATTGTTGATAAGTCATTTCCCCATAGCTTTATCGCGTTCTTGTTGTCGAATGCGATGTTTTCCAATAAATGTGTCAATTTCTCACTCTGATTGTGAGGCCTATCAGCTAAAAACATGATTATTAGTGTGAAACAAGCAACTGCACATCTTTTTGAACAGATAACGTTGCTGACTATGTGAAACTTGGCTGATGCGATTCACCAAGCGATGACCCAATCTCATATCATGTTTTCCTTTATTCATTTTCTTCATTTATGATTTTTCGATCGTTTACGCCAAGCGACGAAAACATCTTTCTTTCCTTTTTATTTGTCAGGGGAGGTAATCAAGGCTAAAGATTTCAAGGGTTGAAATCGTCTTAGAAAAACACTTGAGCTCCCGCGATCTTTTCCCTATGTGGTGCATGATGCGGAGGTAATAGGCTATTTCGATGCTATGGGTGACGGACTTGGTTTCCTTCTTTCGAGTCCACCATGGACCACGTCAGGATTGTTGATATTAGCCATGTCCCCATGGCTTTACCGCATTCTCGTTGTCGAATGCGATGTTTTCCAATAAAGGTGTCCATTTCTCACTCTGATTGTGAGGACTATCAGCTAAAAACATGATTATTTGTGTGAAACAAGCAACTGCACATCTTTTTGAACAGATAACGTTGCTGACTATGCAAAACTTGGCTGATGCGTTTCACTAAGCGATGACCCAATCTCATATCATGTTTTCTTTTATTCATTTTTTTAATTAGGATTTTTCGATCTTTTACGCCAATAGACGAAAACATCTTTCTTTTCTTTTTATTTGTCAGGGGAGGTAAGGTTTCACTATCGACTGAACCATTTATACCACCCTGGATTCTGACATTTGACTTCTGACACTAGACAGAAAAATTTAACTGCATAAAAACACGTCTGTAAACTGTACACCAAACCACACGGAGAAACTGCTCCGAGAAAACACCGCTTTGGGACAGCCCCTGCTCATTTCGCTGAAGTGTCGACGATGGCCGTGCTACGCTTCATACTCCTGGCGGCGCTCCTGGGTCTTTGTCCCGCTGAAAAGAAAAGATACGATGGGTAGGTACTATGGCTGGGCCCTGCATTTTAGCTAAATCAGGTGTTGAGTTATCTCCTCTCCCTGACAAGTGAGGGACAAAAAACACTTGGGCCACTTTGTCACAAAAATATGCCCATTCTTCACTTCGTTCATTTCGAAGAAAAACAGGTTTTGAGATAATCGCCGTGGAAGTCTCTCCTATCGTAAAGCTGCAAATACATCACGTTTCTTTAATTTCATGCAGCACGAAACCTTCAAATGATTCTCTGAAATGTAAACGTTCGCGCGATCCTAGTAATTAGAATGAATACAGTGAACTGACCGAAATCAATTAGCTTATATGCGCGTTCATTCCTGAAAGTGAAAAACCATATTTTCCGACACCTACTCCCTTCTGTTCATTTCATTTCCCACAGGGAAAGGGCAAGCATATTTTCGTGCGCGGTAAATGTATCAAAGTTGTGGGTCTCTTTGTGGAAACGAAGTTCTCATTTGACCTATTTTTTTGCTTTTCCAGTAACACATTGTGTACTTGAACGAGGAACTGTGAGTTGTGTCTCCTCGTAAAAACGTAAAATGCAGTCATCAAGATTTCTGCCCCGGCAACATAAATGTAATTTTGACATTTGGCTTTTTGTTGTTTTCAAACAACAGAGTGAAAAAATCAAAATCGATAAAAAATTTCTGATATTTCTGTCTCTTCGAGAAAACGGTGACGAATGTGACTCCGAGGTGTGACTCCATAAAGTGTTGTATGGGCCCTCCTTAACATTTATGCAAAGTTTATTCATGGCTGTGGAGACTTGAGTGTCACGATAGCTGTAAGCGAAAACGGAATCTTTCTGTGGTTCCCGAGATAACCTTCGGGTTTGTGAAGGATTACGTAAAAAAACGCTCCCAAAGCAGTGGAGAGCAACAGTTTGGTAGAGGCTTCAAGTATTTTTCAGAAGTTTACATTCATAATCTGAAGGGCAGCAGTTTATTAACAAGATTTTATTTGGGACTTTTTATTGACGTTGCATGCATGCACAGTAATGTCCAGGCCTAAACGGTCGGTTGTCGCCACGATCGAAGAGTTTGAAGACCTTTTTATCATTTAGCAGATTACCTTTAATAACTGGACTGTATCGTTTCGAAATTCAGAATTCAAAAAATCTCAGACGTTATTTCATTATGCTAGGCGCGATCAAACATGGACGAAGGAAAAGACTGGATCAATCGCAATGCACCAAAGTGCAATGACGCGTACGATGTAGGGCAAGTGATTACGATTATGTAGGGCAAGTGATTTCTATACGAACATCTTAAGTGCCCCAAAAGTCGTTTCAAAGTCTAAATCTACCTTGAATAGTGGTCCATCGTCTCGATTGATCTGAACAATCCACCTTTTTCCCCAGGATCTTGTTTTCTGGAAATCGTTGAAGCTAATTCATGGCGATGATCTTCGTTCGTGGTTGCTACAACACGGCACTAAACAATACTTCGCCACGTTCACCGACAGCGCCCTATTTAAGTTGGTCAAAACAGTGTTGGGCATTTGTTATTTGCCAAATCTTGGTTAAAGTTACCACACTGTTAGTCAGTTTTCATAACTGCTGGTCAAAAATTGACCAAATATTGGGAAGGATTTGCCCAAAGGTTTCTAAGATGATATTTTTTTTACCAACACTGGACAAAATATCCGACCAAAGTTGACCAACCATTAAGTACAGCTTCGTGTACGGTGCCGGTGCATAAAGTCTGCATAAGTATTAAGGAAGGCTTATAATAATACACTCGTTTAATTTCCTTGTGGATCAAATGGTCATTTTTCCAAAGATTCCTTTATTCTGGACTTCTTTTCCCGCTCCAGTATACAAACCGTAAAAGGAAAAAGTGGGACTCTCGTGCTGGGTGTTACCATCAGTTTTTGTTTTTTGGGGAAAAGCCCCCTGCAACACCCTTCCCACAGAACGATTTGTACGCTCATGAAAACATAATCCCCGACACATAATTTAGGGAATATTTCTTCAGTGCGGTCCTGTCCAAATTACCTTTTTACTGTCTAAAATTTCCAGTGATGCACGTCTTCGACGGTTCCCTAACTTGAAAGAATTTTTCTGAGCTTATAAAGTTACGAACTGTTATCGGTAAAGTGTCCGAGTGACTTCGTTCTCTCTCCAGTTACAAAGTTCTTCGCGTGACGCCGGGTGATGACTTTCAACTGCAGTCCATTGTCAACCTGGAACGCATGTTGGAAGACAAGGTCTGTTGGCCCCAAAAGTCCTCGGTTTCTGGTCAGTGCGGGCGTCGCCGTAGACCTGCGCGTAGGCAAAATAAAAACAAATTTATTGGTATAAAACGATGTCCAAAAACTGCCAAACTCGCTGAATCGACTGGAATCCTACTACTGCATGATTGTAACGTGCATGATTGTATCGTGATTTGATAGGGTACGGTTGAGTAATATGTACAGTGAAGGTGTATCTCTAGTTCCCCATACATTTAGTCGGACACTCTTTTTCGGATTTCTGTATTATACATTTGTATCTGGGAACCAGACGAACGAAGTGGTTATTATATCCTGTGTACATGTACAAGCTGAAAATGCTTTTAATTTAAATAGTAAAACGTGCGGGGACCAGACCTTCAAGGTCCTAAAGATTATCGCCCATTACCTGCGGCGTGTATGCAGCCCTAGCTTTGTCCGTCTAATTTTATCATCAAATCTCATCATGCTGCACAATTTTTTTCATAGGAAAAGTCAAACTGTGCAACAATTCTAATTCTATTCATCTCTTATAAAAGGACAATCTATACAAGAATATTTACTCTTACTTCAAGTACATCCTTACAAAAGTTCGACCTATGCCAAACTGTTTATTACCCATACCCTCATATTCATATCATTATTATCATATCATTATTCTTATACATATTCATGCAACCCTTTTCTATTTATAGGCCAAAGGTCAAACTTTGTCAAATTTCCCCCCGGCCCCAACTACTGAAGCCGCGTCGCCGCACCACTTTTGGAATCAGATCCTGACCAGAAATCACAGACTTTTTTGTTAGTCTTAATTGTTTTCGATTGTTCTGCCATTATCCACCCCCACTCCAAGGCTGTGTACCCTCGGAGGTGGAAATGATGGTCCCTACATCTATGTCTACATGAGCATGACGTATTTTTTGTCTGTTTGTTGTATGTTTCCGACCTTCTTATTACCAATAAGAAGGCCAAAATTTGACTGACCAAAAGTTTGCAAGTAAAAACGTCAAATGGGTCAGTATGGGCCACAAAAATGAACCAAGTGTTACTGGAACTCAGCGAATCGTGAGACCTTCAATAAGGGCTAGTCAGCAAAGTTAAAGGAGCAGCGGTGTATATCACATACACTACAGTCTTTATTGTGAAAGTCTCTTAGCAAATGCAGGGATTTTCTTGCCTTGTTTGTTCTTCACATGTCTGCTGTGTCTCCACCCGTGACCTCACTGTGACTGTGATGAAAATATACGTTTTTAATTTTGTTGTGCGTTATTCCTGCTATTTCCACTGGCCAAGGTTTTTCCTTCGGACCTATTGTTACAATCCAGATGTCTCCTCTTCTCCTTTGAATCATGGGTTCATATTGTGGAGCAGTCACTCAAGAAAAATTATGTAATTGTGAAAGAGCACACTAAATTCAGATTATCGACCTGACAAGACGAATTCAGAAACTAGCTTTTTAGAGAATCTTGAAAGACACATGAAGTCGCTACTGTTTCATTGGTTACAAAAAAACAGGTTGACTTCTGGGCCAGTTCGCACCACATCGGCAAGTCTGTGGATCTGATGGTATCGCCGGAGGACGAGCACTCCGTCCAGGCATTGCTCGACCAACAAGGCCTGGAATCCACGGTCTGGATCAGCGACGTCCAGCAACTCATCGACGAGACCACCCCGGAGGAACGAGAGGAGAACATCGCCGGGCTAGCCAACTTCCGATACGATCGTTACCATTCCTTTGATGACGTAAATACGGGTGGCTATATAGTCAGGCTGTTCGAGGGTTAGCCTCTGCATTCAGACGGGTATTCTCAGCCAGAGGACGGGTGTTTCAGTTGCGTGGAGACCTGCGAAATACTAAAAATTACGCTGATACAATAATATTGATGGCAGATATACAAGGCGCTACTTAAGAATTTAAGCACACTAAAAAAGTGATGCCCGTGATGTGCTCTTGAGTGGGAAATTCCTATCAACAGAGACTAAAGGTTGACACCCCTAAAGATCACCCGTATCTACTAACACATTTTAGGATGAAAAATCTTCACAAAAGGATGCTATGGGAGAAAATGTTTCTCAAAAAATATAAAGGTTTTACTTACATTTGGACAGAGCGTTCAACATTCAACAAGGCTGTAGGCCTATCTTTGTCATTCAGTCTGAAAACAAGAAGACAGGTGTTTTGAAGGCTGCATGGTTAAACCCTCGAATGTCTAGAATTTTCTTTGTCTAGATAAATTCTGCTTTCTGATAAAGCGATGGGTATTCAAGGGTCATTTCTCAGCTAAGGAAAAAATAATGAACAATCAACAGTGATCGCCATTGAGGAAAATACTTAGACGACGCAAACGATGTCAATAAATTTGTCTACTAATTTCTTAGGGTGAAAAAGGTTCGTAATATATCCAGACGAAGCAATCGAAAATTCTCTGTGTTTATTTTGTTGCTCCAGATTATCAAATGGATGAAGGATGTTGCCGCTGAACACCCCAACATTGCTTCCACTCAGGACATAGGCTCCTCTTACGAGAAGAGGGTCCTTTCTCTTCTGAAGGTATATTGAGGAATTGTCGAGCAACAAGAGGGTCCAAGAAAGTGGACAGGAAGCATACTGGGTTTTTAACAAAATGTCTGCTAGACGTTGGATCCCTGAAACCTTGCCCACCTGTGTATGCATTGGTTGCATGAAAACTTGTTACGGGAAATGAACACAGAATTGCACCCGTCTGTAAGTTTGCTTTCCCGAACTACCGGTAATAAGCAAAACTTCTGACGGCATTTAATAAGTCATAAATAGAGTGTTGGAGACCAAAATCATCAGTAGCGCGTTGAAGTGTACAAAATTTCAATGCCAGTTTCCCTGAGGCCGAGGCTATACGCCATGCTACTGCCGTGCCGAAGTCCTGCACAATAGCACAGCACGAAGCGCACTTCGGCCCAGCAAGTTTGGGGGGTATTGCCGTGCTATTACCGCACTCGTCTTAATTAAGCTCGGCACGGCATAGCATAGCGCCTTTAGGAACTCTGGAATCCCATTTTGTACAAAATAAAGGCTTGTGCTATGTACTTTTCTCTCTTGTTTTGGCTCTAGCTCGGAAAGCCTGGGAATGGCAAACCGATCTTCTGGCTGATGAGTGGAACCCACGCCCGAGAATGGCTGTCGCCAGCTACGCTTTTGAAAATTGTGGACTTGGTGAGCAACTATTTAGGGACCAGTCTATTTGGCAGTGGCTGAAAGTCACGCAAAAGGAATATGCATAAAGCCGCTGTTAAATGGCTTCCATATCGATACGCGTCGTTGATCTCAGCCTAGCCATAAAAATCGGACTTGGCCTTCACTGGAGCAAAACCTATACACTCTCATCATGAGATGGCGGCCTTTAGGAGTAATTTAAGGAGCTTAATCGAATTTCCCTCTCGGGTATGTTGTTCCACTGCAGTGCACAAATGAATACCGGTACACCTCTCCCAAGCAAATTGATTGAGAGCAATGTACACGATACCATTAATATTTGGTGAGAGCATTTCGTCAGCAGACAAAATTGTCGGTTTGGGTCTAATAAGAATGTACACGGGCCTACGTTGCCTGTGGTTCAAGATGGTAAGAAAATAATATTTCTTTTGAAAAATTACAGATTGAACAAAAGTGAGTCTTTGTGTGCCGAAAACCAGTAAAATGGAAAAGTAGATTTCTTTTGCTTACGGTCGTGGTCGTGGTTCATGGCACTTAAGAATCTGTGGACCTTATCGTAAGTTGGTCATATTGGAATTGAAAGTGGGGTTAATGCTTGATATTCGGAACTTTAAAACGTCTATTAAGGAAGAAAATGACATTTCCTGACAAGATAGTATCTGTCTACCCCGAGGAATAATGTCATATGTGCAACAAACAATGTTTTAGTGTTTTATGTCAGATTTGGAAAAAAATGATCGGCATGGAACCCACATTAATTCTAAAATAGTCTGTTGCCACCCCATTCAAAAGTTATGTTACAAATTCAATGAACAAGGTGTAGACTCAAAACAAACAGGACGCTACCAGAGGCAAAAATCGGGACAGTAGATGACTCATAGAGGAAGACTGCATTACGTAAAACAGGAAAATGCGAAAATAGATACAACAGCAGTGACTATACTGGTACTTGTTCCAAACCTCAAAAATCAACTTTTGCCACACTGCAAAGCCTCCTTTTCTGTAATATAACTAAAACGGGACGACCATTTTCTTTTGACAAATCAACAAACCCTGGCTACACTCCTGAATATAAACTGATTAGCATAACACGATGACGGGATATTTCTGTTTAAACTCAGCCGTACTGAAAGTATCTTTATTCATCCGCCTTCGTTCTTGTTTCACAGTTTTTGACAAATTATGGGAACGGCAATTCTGATGTTGTCAACCTCCTGGACAAAGTGGATTTCTATCTCATGCCGATGTCCAATCCAGATGGCTACGAATACAGCCGCTCGGTAGGCAACTTCCAATGCTTTTTGACTTGTTAAGAGGCAGAAGCTAGCCAGCTCATCACAGTTTCGCCATACCTTTCAAATGAGACAGTTTGGTATTTTAAAAGGCAAGGTCATTCAGGAACGAAGCACGCCCACGAGTCCGCAAAAGGGTCGTGCCGATTTGGCAGATCTTGCACACGCGTCCGATTGACCGCGGACGCACTTCGTTGTTCGCATGCGCTGTTGAAATACTGAGCTGGCTCATTCACCGAAAACACTGCGTTATTACCAACGCACATACCCGTTTCTGTTCTGTATCAGCCACTCGCTGCTTATGAACCAGACAGGCAGACACCAGTCACACGATGGCCGTCTGTTTCTATGGGGGTTCCTTTTGGAATCCTGCGACTTTCTCCTTGAATCTGATTGATTTGAGCACTGCGTCTGGCGGGATCGGAGTGCTGTCCGCGCACCATCCGTCGACATCGGTTGTGGTGAAAATGGATGCAAAACAGTTTGAACGTGTTTGATTTAATCCAGTCCTTCCACGTATCGGTCCGATTTACGAAGGCCATGTGGTCCAGTGAAATTTGTTTACCAATTTTCATCCCGAATCTTTCATTGCCTCACGAGTGCATTTTCTCAGACTGATCCAAATAAATGCATCAATGATCATTGCAGAGAGATCGTATGTGGAGGAAAACGCGTTCAACGGAGTCATTATGGTGCACTGGCACGGATCCGAACAGAAACTGGGATATCAACTGGGGAGGTAAAGTCTTTTTGCTCGTCTGACCAATTCTCCCCCCCCCATGTCAGCAGGAAGTTTCGCTCCCTCTCAGGTGCCTGAACAATTTGTCTGTGAATTCGTCAATCGAACCCTTCATAAACGTAGTGCTGCACATTAGTGAAAGTATAAAGCTCCGCCCCTTTTGTGCAGTCACGTTCTGTGGAGATTGTTTGAGAGAAATAGAAAAGATCCGGCAACAAAAATTAGAACCCATTACTTCGGGCTATATTCCTCTCCGACCGATAGGGTGTCACTGTCATGGCTTGCCAAAAGGCGCACGCAAGCTCATGGTCAGACGTGTGTTAGTGCGATGGCCTCGCAGGAATAGCGTCGCCTGGGCTTGTACATAATACGTATGTTCGTCGTGTTCCAGTGCCTGGCGCCCAAAAGGAAATTTATTTGATATAGAACTGCGCATACTCAGTACTTAACTGCTGCAGACAGCAGCTTTTTTTGCGCTAGGAGACGACGCGTTTCGTTGTTGTCGATAAAAATGGAACAATGATGAAAGCAATAAGTTCCACAAAATAAATGGTTTATTTAAAATAAAAAGTATGTATATGTAAAGAGAAGGATGAGTTTCTTACCATGACATGTCAGAGAAAATAAGACAAGTGCAAATAGGCCTAATAAAAATGTGAGTTTCTTGAATCACTTACCACAACCAAAAATTGGTTTTATGTCTGTGCCCCAAATTTAAAATATAGGTTCACATTATACAGAAATCTACAGATAGATTGTGTCGCCGTAAATAATGTATCACATTTCTGTGCACTTCCCCCGTTATATGTTACAACACCATTTGGTAATTGTTATGCCTCACCTCAGCAGATCTGTAAATCACAATTTCCATATGTTTTTCATGGCTGAGAACAAACAAGGATGAACTCTTGTAATACACATAGGTACGGCAGGGTCTGTATGTTTTTACTGTGAACACACCAGAGCAGTAGACCACCAAAGCAACACAGAATGTCTAACTGATTCAAGACTTTAAATAATGTACATCACCTTACAATTCACCTTCAAATATTAGTCATGTCATTCATAAACTTAACATTGAAAAGCTTTTATCAGATGAGGATGGATCCATATTTTCAGTATAGAGACTAGAATTCTAGGAGTTGCCAAATAGGTGTAATGTTTTCACAAGAAAAAGTTTTTACATTCCTGGGGTGGAATGGATGCATCGTATAAATCTGAGGATCCTAAACCAGTCTTGGTTGACCCAATTTAAACTTACATCTGATTTTTAGCGAAAAGAACTGTTATCTTTATTTAAAAGTTTCACACAATCTTCTTACAATGTACAAAAATTGTATTCTAACCTGATAAATGTAGTTAATCCTGATTCCTCAAGTCCAGCAGAAATAACACGATGACATGTTCCTAGTGAACCCTTTATAGCTCCACCAATGCTGATATCCTTGATCCAGATCCAATCTATTGCTCTCACAACCAGTATCAGAATAAACTTTGAATGGAACAGTCAGTATCAGCACATATTTGAACCTTTGTTCATTGTGGGAACAGTGATTATAAAAAATCAAGACAACCCAGTCATATTTTATTAGTTATAGTGAAAACTTTATCGCATAGATTCCTCCCAATTGCAGGTAGTTCTCAGATAGGTAGTTCAGGTAGTGGCAATCAGAGTTATTCGTATATGATGCATATAGCTGCAACTGAACCATGGAAACTCTACAGATCTCTACAAACAAAAATCATACATGTACATTCAACAAATGACAGACTTGTAAGACACTTGATGTCAATACATGTACAGCGGTCCACTTATGTTCAATTAAGTAACAAAATACATGCTCCAAGTGACGTTAACAAGAGTGGAATCTTTTGCCCGTACCCAACGTATATATTAATAAACTCTGTATGCTCAGTGCTTCTCTGAGAGCTTGCGAAAGTGGACTCGTCACATTGGACCATTATGTTTGCAATCCGCATCTAAAAAGCCTCATGCCATGGCAAGGCAGCATGTTATGGGGAGATGTATGATGGTGAACCAGGACAGGGTTATTGCCACAGTTGTACATGTATATTGTTGATGTCTGGTGACTTTATTTATCCCCCTCTCCACATACCAGATGTAGGCCTGTTGTGTTGGGTATATGGAAGAGTCTGTTTATAACTGTTATTTAGATTTAATCAGATGGGTTCTTGTCAGACAGGTTCATCGAGTTGGTCTATTAAAAATTGTGGCCACTGAACTTCGCCTCTTTCTCGCATAGGCACTGGATCTAGCGGGAATCCCTGCTCGCAAACGTATCGGGGTAGCAGTGCCTTCTCTGAGATCGAGGTGAAAACAGTAGCGGATTATGTCAGAGGTCTCCAAGGGGTCAAAGTGTTTATAGACTTGCACGCATACAGCCAATATTGGACGGTTCCATACGGCTACAAATACGCCCGTCCACCAACCTACACAGACCTGGTAAGTCACCTATCGATAGTAATGGTATCAAGTGTTACGACTTTGAAATGATGTTCTTTATCATGTCGCCGTCACTGTTTAATAATCTCGTTTGTCGTCGAGTGCCTGTGCAATCAAATGACAATCGGTTTTTTAGGCACATCATCGTTAACCAGAGATAATGATACTGCCTTAACGTTCAAACACTTACAGGCAAGAACTCAATCCCTACATCTGAATGCAATTAATCAATTTCTGAGGATCTGGTCAGCCTTGCCAACAGAATTCCGCAATTCAGTAATTACTGACTCCTTATCCTCGTTTTTGAGATCTCCGAAATACGAGGAGGCTGCTGGGTTTAACATACTCCAAAGTGTACCCTTTTTATACCGTTTTATCACCATTGTACATAAATCTATCCGTTATTTACCTACATATTTTTATTCATTTTTTCTCTACTCATATCACCACTTTATATTTTGTATTTCATTTCCCAGTAAGTCATTTAATATTCCCTTTTCCTTGCAAATTTAAGTGTGATTTTCTGTTTTTAACGTCTGTATCATGTCCGGAAGTAGGCCTATGTGTCTTATTTTGATCTCATATATTTTATATAGTCAAACATTTTACTGTAAATAGTAAATCTATGTCTTTTATTAATGATCCACAACCAGATGTGGGGCCGCAGGTCTACGGATCACAGATAAAGTTACTGCTTTTGCTGCTCCTGGCCCATCTGGGAGAACCAATCTGTTTTGCATTGCACTAATTGTTCTGTATTGTCCTGTCACGTGTATTGTTCTGGCCAATTACATACATGATAATAATAATAATACAAATAATGGGATGACATGGGATGACATGGTGTAGTCTTCCTCCATTGTCTAGTAATATCATGATCAGCAAATTAAAGGGTAGCTGCAACAGTTTATTTTGATACAGACCTGCAAAATGCACCTCCAAGTTGTGTCTCAGTTAACCTTATTTTCAACTTTCGCCCCCCCCCCCTTATACTGCCTTTTTGTTTTATGCTAATGAGTATTTTCATATTTATGGGCAAAACTGTGATGTCATCCCAGGAAGAAATCCTCAATGTAACATTGGTTTGTACACAAAAACGTCCGCCATTTTTTTTTGTGTGTGTAGATTTTGCTGAATTAAATTTTCTCTTCTTTGCTACTGATTCATTGTTAAGGGCAAAGCCGCAAGCAAGAATCAGTCCTTTTTCCTAATTTTTTTTTCAGTAAGTCAGTTTTGGGTCAATAATTTGAACAGGGAAACCCATGCACTGAACTTTATCTGCCCTAGATGACGTTATGGCAACAGCGCTCTCAGTAGCGTGGACAATTGTATGTGTTGAAGAAAGTACACAGCTGCATTTAATCAAATAGGAATGTGAAAGTGTTTGCATGCATTGAAGAAGGGAAAAAATGCAAAAAAAAGTATGTCTAAAGAGAATACATTGCGTCACACTTTAAAACTTAAAAAAAATTCACATTACGTCACAACGGCATGGGTATAGCAGCGCGCGATTGAACTTTTTCATAGGCGGGATTTTATTTTAAGGCGTCAGTTGCAGCGCAGTAGAGAATGGGTGCTGCAGCGAGATATGCACGCAAATCATCTTTGCAGTATGTCACCCATGAAGTAGTCTAGCACCATGACGTTCGCCTGTCTTACTTAGACCTCCTTGTGCAAAAGTGTACTATGTGAAGGAGTGAATGTCGGTTCAAGGGCGAACTCGAAAGCAAGCGAATTTGTTGAGAGGAGATGTTCGACCTCAGCGAATAAGCCTTTTGCGATTTAAATTTGAATAAAATCTGGCACACTGAGTTCTTTCAATTCATGTGAACATAACCATTTGAATTCTCCATATTAAAGGTGTAGGCCTACACCATTGGTAAAATCCCGAAAAACGGACATCTGTATAATCCTGAAATATCTAACTCGAACGAAAGTACACAACAGTCTCAACCAGTCTGTAAAATATTTCCACCCAGAATGCTGTAGTTTTCGAGAAAAACAAAGATTTTGTTCCCTTTTTATTACGATGGTCGACCGACCATCGTAATAGAGTTAATTGCACTTCGCACCTCACATCCTTTAACATGCGCCAAATTTGCAGATTAATGAACGGATAAACCTAAAAATAGCTAAAAATATACTGACATTCTTTCACCAAAAACTCTGTGAACAATAAACACGATCGTGCGCGCACGTGCATAATCATGATACAGGCTTATGTTACGGACACGAGTCGACTGCTGTGACCCTGGATGAAGTTTTTCCCTGAATCCGCAAAGCTATATTGTCGTGGAGGCGCATTACTCCAAGGTAAATTTCACTGACTCCTAGCCGTCAAAAACTGCTCCTTTATTAAGGGAATGAGAACCTCTCATGCTCGTTTCCCACCCTTACGCCGCGGACGATGTTCGCTTGTACTACGAACGCCCTAAAATCCATGGATTTTACACATGATAAACTACAAGACCTTTTTTAAGCAGTGAAAATGCTGCGCTGTTTTTCCTCGGTTTTTTTTAACAAATCATTTGACTCAATCATATGAAAGAAGTGAGTGGAATGTAAGTTGCAGTGAATATTACACGCCGTAATCAGCCAATCTTGTGAAATTACGACAAAAACCAGTGATGTGCACCACCTTTAAAGACACTTTTGCTGCACCTCGTGATTCGGGGCAAGCGTTTGCTTAGTTACATAAAGAGACGTCTTGCACGAATACACTGTTTTCAATGGAAAAGAAGGGCAAAAAGGAGCCAGTCCATTGCAGAGATGGTGGTCGCTATGTAAAAGCTTGTCCCGAATAACAGGGTATAGCAACAGTGTCTTAAGTCTTGGGAATTCAAATTGATATGTGCAATCAAATAACTCAGTGTACCAGATTTTAAGCAAAAGGCTTATTCCCAGCACCAGTAATGCCTCCAAATTTTCTCATTTTTTGTAAGATGACCGTCACCAACAAAGCCATGGCAGCTCTGAAGGCAGAACACGGATTAACCTTCGCCACTGGCACTACTGCTGAAGTAATATGTAAGTCATAGTAAATCTTGCTGAACTCTCGATAGAGAGTGACGGTGAAATAAAGGCATTTTGAGGTTTCGGGTGGATGTAGGAAAATGTTTTTTCCTCTAAAATAACTCTCTAAATTTTTCATCCGTAAAAACTCTTACATCTGCAAAGAAAGGTTGTAGTAGGGCCAATTGTTTATAAAAAAATTCTGTTTCTTTAAATTTTCGTAAAGACGACCACCCCCTCCCCTGGATATGCCACAGCAGTGAAGGTGGTGAAACAGGCGCAGAATACCTTGTGGTAATTAGGCCGCAAAAGGTAAATGCCTAATTGTCTCTTCCCTTTCGACACTGACAGACTTGGCCAGTGGCATAAGCGCAGACTGGGCCTACGAGAAAGCTAACATCCCGTACTGCTTCGCCCCGGAGCTGAGGGACAAAGGCTACTACGGGTTTTTGATGCCAGAGTCCCAAATCTTGCCCAGCGCCGAAGAGGTGTTCGCGGCCATTAAGGTCATCGGGAACTACATTATATAGCTGAACTTAGCTACGCTGATCAATCGCTAGAAATGGCGCCTATGCTAGACGGTAATGGTCAGCGCATGTTTTTCCAACGGCTAGGGCCCATTTGATTAGAAGTGGATAAACAGGTTAATTTACAATTTACAAAGTCATGGAATCACCACTTGCTCTCTGGACTATTTTGGACATAGATTAGATTAGAGTTTAGCTGCTTGATAGTGTATGGAGCTGCAAATTGGAGTTCTTTGCAGCCATCTCCAGTGCATTCCTAGCCTGTGTCTGCCTGTTTAATCATGAAAGTCGTAATGGAGAATTCTGACAGTTGCAAGTTTTACAAATGCTTGCTTGGCGGCTCGAAGTGATATTTCTGTTGGGGTGAAACCTACGCAAATTAGGTCAAGTTCATTGTGTGCTCTATTGCTTCAGGGAAGATTCAGCATAACGTGAACACTCTGTTCGCAATAAAAAATATATGAACTGAAAGTTGTTTTGAGAGACTTGTGGTCACTGTGAACGAGGTCATGAGCAGATTGAGAAGCGCTCGATAAAGGTTTTTGCTTATTCTTCCTATTAGGAAGAATCAACGGAAACTTGTCGCAAGTGATTCATACTGTCTGCCAATATCATCATAAGAATTTGTGATCCTTGTAGCATACTCCACCGCACCAACGATCTCAAAGCGCCTTAAAGTATTAAGTACCCCACGCTCCTCGTGCAATTAAGCATTGGCCTGTGCCCTTACAAGTACCCGTAGACCTGGTGCAAAAAGGCAACTGGGGGTGGGGTTGGGGGAGTTGATGTGACTACACGATGCCACTTGCTGAACTTAAACCCTGACTCTGTGTGATCTAACAACACACTGTGCACTGGTTTTGGCAGCTGAATTGTTTTCCTAGGAACACCCGAAGAATTGAGCTTAGTTATTCGGATAAAAATAGAATAGACTTTTACACAGCTGTTGGGGCGTGTGCCAGAGGTTACACTTTCATAGCGTTTTAGTATTTCGTCTATACCAGTCTTTTTGTACTCCTTTCGATCAACCGAACTTCCACAATATCAGCGTATACTTACAGAAACAAAATTAATTGTGGAAGTGTGTAAACCTCGAGCTGGACCATACCAAGAGAGGGCGCAATTTTCTTAGCAACGGAGGCTCCTTTGGTCGGAATGAACTTCGCTGATTTCACATACGAGTAGGAAGTGTGCGCTCGCTTTGCTCCCAATAAAATGAACACTCCCGACCCATATGGCTCTTTTCAACATTGAGATGAGGGGGTCCTTCTGCCTGAGGTGGACATTGATTAGTGCCTATTTTATATCCGTCGAAGCAAATGTCAAGTCTATTACTTCTTTTACCAACTTAAAGTATGATTTTACCGTGGTCTTCTTCAAACATTGCAATACTTCTACCAGAGCTATAATTAACTTGTTTTCCTGCATGCGTCATAAATGTCGATAATAGACCCTTTTTTTAAATTCTCAGTGGTTACGCCGACTGCAAGCTTTAGGCTACGTTGCATTTTCTGTATCTGCCAATCTGTCCAGTTCCCACTCTGATTGTCGAGACAATCATCCGAAAAACAAGATAATGGATGAGAACCAAACAAATTACGTGTCTCGTATGTTGTGTATAACTGCAGGCATTAGCAAAAACAAAATGGTAGGCCCACGACTTCACTTAATATTTCATCAGCCCTTCACGTCCTGCTTGGAAAATTTCGATATTGAGGTTTCATTTCTCATTCTGCACAATATCTACATATGTATTGAGTCCTAAGCTCTGCATTTCTCTCCGATTACACACAAGGAAAGTGAATCTACAGTACGCTGCAGTCCGATATGCAGTACTTTGTGTAGTGAACGTGTAATTCCACTCACAATCACCTTGACTTCAACCTTGACAATGGATTTCAAATACAAACCTCCACAAATGCACATTTGTATCTCGGTTAACCTCATGTTTTTTGTTTCGCTATATTTTCAAAGATGTTTTGATGTCCTTTTGGTTTTTATATTAATGCATGTCCGTATTCATGAGCAAACCTGCGATGTTGTCCCGGGAAAAAAGCTCAATGTCACACCGGCTTAATCACACAAACTCCTGCAGACTTCGGTTTCTTTCAGAGCTTGCTGGCCTAAAGCTTCTCTCCTGCGGTGATGCACTGTTGTGTAAGTACAAAGCAATAAGCAAGCAAGCAATCCTTGCTCAAACATATTTTCCGTGAGTGAACTTTGGGTTCCCTGTTTGAATACTGAATATAGAAAATCTCAACACTGAGCCATGACTTTACCACAACAGTGTCTTCAGTGGTGCAAGAAATCATGGATGATTTTAAATGTTTAGAAATGCACTTTTCAATGCATTTAACCCATTTGGGATGTTGAATTGTTTTCATGCATTGAAAAAGATATAGGCCTAGTTGCAGTAAAAGTGTTCCTGAGAAAAGTCATTACAGCTACACCAAAATGCCCATAATGACCTGAGCGAAAGGCGAGGGTCATTCTAGATACATTGGGATATACAATGGAATAATTGGGAAATGTTGGAACCCACCTCAAGAGAGAAGTGACAAAAATGACGTAAATCAATCACAAATTTTGACACTAAAGAAAAAATCCACAGCATTTCTCACAAATTAATTGCAACGAATACCACCTATACTCAGCCATGGGTGACACGGAATGACAACCATTTGATACCGTTTTAAAATACGATAAAGACACAGCGCTGATATGAGTGGCCTAGATAGATGTACGCTCCTCACGCTGAGTTTAGGCACAGAAAACCAATATAAAGCGGGAGTTCGCAGAAGTTTCTTCTCATTTGCTGAAGTGTCGACGATGGCCGTGCTGCGCTTGGTACTCCTGGCGGCCCTTCTGGGCCTCTGCCTCGCTGAGAAGAAGAGATACGATGGGTAGGTATTGCGGCAGAGTTAATGCAGTCGATTACCTGGGTTGAACCATAGTTTCGCGAACCGGTGGCTGGCAGAACCATATGCTGGGCCGTGAACCAAAGGGGGAATTCACGAAGCACGAAAAAAAAATCTCGTGTCAATAGTAAAGCAGTGAGTACTACCAGAAGAATCCTCCCATGTTAACACCGTGACGTGTGCATTGTCCATAAGCGTTGTTGCTAGCCAAGTGTGAACTTTTATGAAATAGCGGTCGGAGTGTATAAACAAAAGAAATGTCTTTCTAACTCGGGACCAGAACAAGAAGCCAATCCAGCTCTTAGATGTGACGTCCTGTTTATTTAAACCACGCCCACTGCACATAGAGCTACATGGAACCGGAAGTTAATGGTCAACGAGAATGTTCGTCCAATGGGAGCTTGTGATAAGCGGTGCATGACGAAGTCACTCACGAAGCAGACATTGCGGGGCCAGTCAACTTGCACACAGGTTGTTCACGCCGGTTACATTGCTCACCGACCAATCCACTCCGAGCGGGAACAAAAGACGGAAACAGCGGTTCCTTTTTTGGCGGGAGCTCGCCAAGTGCGCGTGCAGGTTTACACCGGTTTGGCGTGGGGCATTAAGCATCTCCAGTATCAGTGGTTGGAACGTACGGCCTCCGCGCGTGCGCTGGTGAGGCCGGATCGGCCTGTCTCTCCTTCGCCGATGAGGTTGCTCTTCATCTTTGCAGAAAGGGTTTTGTTGTAACATGCCAAAGAACGCGCGCTCAATGAAGGACCCATGTGTGATTAATGACCTGTTTTTCGAATGTGTACACGGGTAAGTAAGTGCATTTTACATGTAATGTTTTCGTATGCTCTCTGTTCCTGTGAGCTGCTCCATGCAATAATTTATCCCCATTTACTCAACAAATAACTTTATACACCCACCTTGCGTTAGTGGCAGAGACGTTATGCTTCCACTATTTATTTTCTTTAAACTATATATGTTTTACTCTAATTTGCGTTGATCTTTGATTTTTGTTTCTGAGTGGTTGAAATGTTTCCCTGCCTGACATTCCCAGTGGTCGAAGGGTAATTAATGAATAAGGGTTCGTGATTAATGATCAAAAGGTCAGAGGTTAGAACACAGCCAAAGGTAGTTAGCAGTGGCCTTAGGTAAGTCAGATTTCTCCTGCTCCGCGTCTTATTACCCAAGAACTTGAGTGGGTAGGCTACCGGCAATAGCCGGGGAGCAGCATGCGATGGACTAGCATCCCATCCGGGGGTTCCATGCTGGGGAATCCTGATGTAAACGCCGGCGTGATGAGCTCCAGTGGTTCGGGAGAAACGTAGTTTTTCTGTACTGCCTGTCGTATACACCCCCTCACACCCGCCATTGCTTTTATTTTCCTCAATAGCATGCATCCTTGAACTTTCTTAGACTCTCAAAGAAAAGGTATAAAGTGAAATTTGCGTGGGCCGAAAGTGGTTCTTTTGCATTTTTTTTTTAAAGTTACCCCCCCCAAAAAAAGGTTTTTTAAAGTTGCATTTTTTTCTCCTCAGCTACAAGGTTTTCCGTATTACTCCTAGCGACGACTTTCAGGTGAAGTCCCTTTTTCGACTGAAACCACTTTTGGAAGATAAGGTAGGTTGTCATCCAGTTTTCCGTAACTTGTTTCTAGCCCCAGTATCTTCGCACGTGTTAATTATGGCATAACGTCTCGATCAAGTGCGATGTGTGATGTTCGACGAGGCCGTACGTTTCCTACCCAAAAAAGCACCACAATGAGCTATCTCGATCAGAGTTTCATAGCGTGAACCGAAGGTTAGAATGGCTGATCAGGTCGCTTTAAGAACGAAAAAATTGATTGGATTTTTGTGAAACTGACAATGTGAGAGATAACCAGTGTTTGTGCTGGCTGTCTCGGTTAGCACCAAAAACGATGCGAAACGAACTTCTGCTGAGTTTCTTGGTTTGAGCTGTAAGAGAGAACCCGCCCACACTTGCGTGCCTACACCACTGCTTCTCAATTTGAAATTTCCATTCGTAATTTTGATTTTAGACAAAACCAATTTCTGCCTTCTTTACAGGCTCATTGATTTCTAAGCTATTTTTGAAATGCCTCTCACCAAATAATGAATTTTGCTTGGAGCTTTTGAATTTTCCTTCTTAATGTATGCATTTCTAATGCAAATTCAGTTTTGTCACCCGTTCACTGAGACTACCAGAAGCATGCCTGCAGCAGCTCAAAAAGAATTTGCTTTGCAGCTTATTATCGTTTGAGACCGGTTCATACCTGGCGCGAAAGCGAACACAAATGCAAATTGTTATATTAGATCCGAAAAATCTTGCTGCGAGGTCGCAGAAGCTGAAAGCGTTTCAATTCAGGCAAACTTCGCCGCGAATATTTCTTGTCATTTTCAACGCTTTTTGCATTCTCCTCAATTAACTATGGACTGATGTATAGTGTACGCGGCGTGGACGAAGTATACGCAACAAAGTAACCAGGAAATCAAAAAGAAAAAGATTTGATAAGTGAACTCTGTTTTTGAACTGTGGTGGCGAAGACCGAAGTGTTGATTTGTTTTCAGACGGTTGATTTCTGGACCAATCCCCTCCAAATCGGCAATACCGTGGATTTGATGGTAGCACCGGAAGACCAGGAGGATGTTGAGGAATTGCTCACCCAGCAAGGCATGCATTTATCGGTGTGGATTAGCGACGTCCAGAAGCTTATTGACGAATCGACCCCAGAGGAAGAGGAAAAGAATATCGCCGGGCTCTCCGGCTTCAACTACGAAACGTACCACAGTACTAACACGGTAAAGGGAAAACGGTTTGCTTTTTAAAAAATCTCTAAAGCTCGATAGCCCCAAGGATTCGTCGTGAGAAAAAAGTTCCCTCTCGTGGTCAAGCTAGTGGCTCATAGATTGGGTGCTGAAGGGCTGTGTTTTTGGTCGATTGCATATGGTTCAAGTTAGGAAGATGGGCTGAAGGCTTTATGGGTGATGGTTTGATCGGTAAGGTTACTAAGTTGGGTTTGCGCTATTCAACGATAATGCGTGGTGTATTTTAGACCTGGTAACCAAACTTCACTCAACTTACAAAATTTCATTCAAATTTGAGACAAAACCATTCTTTGTTGGTCGCAGATATTGCAGTGGGTCAAGGACATGGCCAGTGAAAACAGCGACATTGCTTCCTCACAAAAGATAGGCTCCTCTTACCAGGGCAGGGAGCTCAGAATTCTGAAGGTGAGATGTTTTGACTACTTTGTATTTTTTCTTTTCTTTAAAAAGATTCCACGCGCGACTCAATCATTTCGCTTGGGACATTTAAACAAAGACGATGGAGTACCAGCCAGGACTCGGGCTCGAAAAACTTTTCTCATGACTCAGATTCGACTCGAGTCACATTAGAAAATGACTTGGACTAGACCAATGTCTCAGACTCCAGCTTGGTGACTAGTAACTCGAGTTATGTATTTTCCTAACCAGAAAAATGTTTTACAAATTTGTGAGACGAACGTATAGATCCTTTTTTATCGTAACTCATTGCCGCTGCCGCCGAGGAAAGTTGCATGCAGGGTCCGCGCACGCGCACACCCCGGCAGATTGCGATAACGCAATGACGTAACAACTAGAGGCTTGTGACTCATGACTCGAACTCGTGGCTTTTGACTCCCGACTCGGATTAGGACTCGACAATGGTTACTCGAGTACAATACTGGTACCATCTTAGAATAAAAAGATTCGAGATAGCTGTTTGGAATGCCAAGCTGTAATTTTCTGCCTGCAAATTCCTAATACGATTTCTGTAATGCGATTTTTCGTTAAGCCGGACCTGAAGCCGGACTCAGACCCTGTCAAAGCAGAAGTGAAGATTTTCCTCCGACAGATTCACCAGACTACTCCGCGGACGATAAAATCCGATAACTTATTTTGGAGGTTTACTTTGCCCGTTGGCCAAAATGTTTTTGCATTTGTATCCCCAGATCAGCAGAGGAGGGTCCAACAAGCCGATTTTGTGGTTGATGAGTGGGGTGCACGCCCGTGAGTGGCTGTCGCCGGCTACACAACTGAAGATGGTGGACATGGTATTAGCAACTTAGGGCTAGTTTGAGCGATTTTCCTTGGTAACCTGTGCACAAAATACATCCTGGGTGGGGCTAGTTTGAGCGACGACCATTTGGCAACCACTGATCGATTTTCCCTGGTAACCTGTCGTGCACAAAATACATGCTGGGTACCAGGTATCCATTGTATTAAAACCTATAATGAATGGCTTTGAAAAACTAGGGTTTTCGGGGGGGTAACGTTCTTCCAATTTTGTTCTTCAAAAGGTTCTTAGAAAATGACTTCAAAAAGTTTGACCCACTGTTTCGCCCAGGCAGATGAGTAATTCGCAAGGGCAGGTTGCTATTTCGCCCACTCAGGCGGATTACTATTTTGTCCGGGCGGATTAGTATTCCGCCCAGTACTATTCTGCCCCGAGCGTATTAAGGCAAAATTGATAGACACATAGATATAATCCACCCAGACAAAATAGTAGTCTACTAGGGCAATACACTAATCTGCTTCGGTGAATTAGTAAGACAAAGTGATTTTTTTGGTTATGTCCTAAATACGCTTCGGTTTTTATGTTCCACAGTTGGTTGACGGATACAGGAGAGGTGATAGCGAGATTGTCAACCTCGTGAACAATGTGGATTTCTACTTCTTGCCGATGGCGAACCCGGATGGCTACGAATACAGTCGCACCGTAGGTCCTCAACGCTTATTTGCGATACGTGTGGTCGTGCAAACACATTGGTCCTATTTTATCTAAAATATTGTTTGTGTCCTTTTGTAAAAAACGCATCACAAACGGTCAGAGATTTTTTCAGCTTCAACGTAATAGTTTCCCGTTCACGCTACGTGCATTTTTTACGTGAAAACGTTTACGTACATTCCGTGATTTTTTTTCTTTTTTGGGTGACGGTAATTCGTTTTCGTATTTACCACGGACGTCATGTAAAATGGTCTGAACTCCCACTGTCCTACCTCAGCCTACGTAGCTTAATGAACCGGCAGCCATCTTATCATGCCTAATACCAAGGTAATACATTATACTTCCTTTGCCATTGTTTACCGAATCGTTCTTGGCAATAATAATCTTGCAGTGGCACGCGAGACAGCAATCATCTTTCCACTGGGCACGGTAAGATGGCCGCTGGTGGCTTCATCCTACACCAGAGCATTGCGAGCACAGATTTTTATAATCTGACGTCTGCGTTTTGAGCACCCCACATCTTACCAAAGATGGGGCAATACATGTAGAGAAAAGGAGCGGCAGAGTCTACCGTTGCATTATCACTCCGGGTTGTTCAAATATAAGGTCTTGTCCGAATATTAGGCAATGGCTTATGCCAACATCTTTCAGTTTCGGTTCACTTTTTAGATTGATAATTAGCTTGTAATAGCCCCCCCTAAAAGTGGCCATGATGTCCGTTTTCGTTTCTGAACATAACACCTCCACTCTATTGTATAAATAGACCATTTGTAGGACCCATTTCACATAAAATCAAGATGTAAGTCGTGCTCATAATATCTAACTGCAACCCTCTTTTAGAAGAGACTCCTTAAGTCCACGGGTCACAGAATGTTCCCAACAGTGGAACAGATTTTGTAGAAGCCCAAATCGCGATCTGCAGTCAGAGCATGTGCTCTTTGTGACCTCAGTTCACCGATCTGCATCCTTTGGAGAGTCGAAAGTACTTCTTTCGCTGTTGGTGCGGTACATCCATTTTCTGTGCAGGGTTGGTGTATGTGTGTGTGTGTCATGGAGTTGGTTATCTTACCCAATAGTGTGTATACAGCAATTCCTGGAAAAAGACACAACTCTCTCCCAACAACCAAAAGTACATGTATTCAAAGTATTGATACTGAAGTTATTGCTTTTCTATGTAAAAAATATGGCACCTATGTTATGGTGCGTGAGAGTGTTACTGACTTTATATTGTGCATGGCGACCATATCTAATGTCAATGTTGCAGTCGGTTGCACCACTTTGGGTCCGGGTTAAAAAAAAACGAGTCCGATCAAGTCTCAAAATGTGTACTTGAGTCCTGACTGGTGTCCTACAAGACACTGCACGGCAGCGTGGTACCCAGCGAGAATGTTCCGTCACCAGCACAATATCAATTCAACACAATAACCGAGGGATATTCCGGGCACTGCTTAAAAAGGTGCCTCGGTGTAGGAAAATCCAGAGTGGAAAGTTTGGCGAACTCCATGGAATCATTTGTGTCAACACCACCTGGATGCTAATGCTTGTTAATTTGCCTTTTCTACCCTACAGTCTGATCGTTTATGGAGAAAAACGCGCTCACCAGCTCCTGGTTTCTGTACCGGCACGGATCCAAACAGAAACTGGGACGACCATTGGAACGGTAAGCCTTTTGTAATGTTTCAGCGGGTTTTGCCCAAGCACTGGGGACCGCTTTGGGCCATGGNTTATCAGTGGATCACCTACTATAATGGACAGCTTTGAAAAACTAGGGTTTTCTTGGGGGGGGGTAACGTTCTTCCAATTTTGTTTCTTCAAAAAGTTCTCTTATCTGCAAGTACTAAACAGTCTGGATACTGTCAAAGTGGTCAAGGATCCCGTCGTTTTGTACGCATTAGATGGGCCATGACAAAAAACGATGTGGCTTAAATACAATTGGTTCTGTAATTTGTCCCTTCTAAAAATTGTCTTACGGGCATGATTGGAAGCACTTAATTTGTAATTGGTATAGCTTTTGTAAATTAATTGAAACCGGACTTAAATCTTTGAGTTATTCAGTGAAAACTGTACAGAAAGATATGAACTGGAATGCTACTGAAAAAATGGGTAGGCATTACTGTTTTGATTTTACAAGAAATGCGCAACCACCTTCAGGAAAACTCAATATAAACCAGGTTCATTGACTGCAGATTTGAAGTGAGAGGATGATCGCATACATAATGGCACGGCGTCAGAGGCGGGGCGTGTTTGACACGCCCACAATGTCCTCAGGCTCACTGTAATGGGTACAAATCTCCATTGCCTGCATTAATGTACGAAAATGTATAAAGGAAATGACTTCAAAAAGTTTGACCCACTGTTTCGCCCGGGCAGATGACTAATTCGCATGGGCAGGTTGCTATATCGCCCACTCAGGTGGATTACTATTTTGTCTGGGCGGATTGGCATTCCGCCCAGTTCTATTCTGGCCGAGCATATTAAGGCAAAATTGTGAGACACATAGGCCCTAGATTTAATCCGCTCAGACGAAATAGTAGTCTGCTTGGGCAATACACTAATCTGCTTCGGTGAATTAGTAAGACAAAATGATATTTTTTTTAAATTATGTCCTAAATATGCTTCGGTTTTTATGTTCCGCAGTTGGTTGACGGATACAGGAGAGGTGATAGCGAGATTGTCAACCTCCTGAACAATGTGGATTTCTACTTCTTGCCGATGGCGAACCCGGATGGCTACGAATACAGTCGCAACGTAGGTTCTCAAGGCTTATTTGCGATACGTGTGGTCGCGCAAACACATTGGTCTTATTTTATCTATAATATTGTTGGTGTCCTTTTGTAAAAAACGCATCACAAACAGTCAGAGATTTTCTTCAGCTTCAACGTAATAGTTTCCCGTACGTATTAGTGCTAATTTCACGCTACGTGAACTTTTTCACGTGAAAACGTTTACGTACATTCCGTGATATTTGTTCTCTTTTTGGGTGACGGTAATTCGTTTTCGCATTTACCACGGACGTCATGTAAAATGGTCTGAACTCCCACTGTCCTACATCAGCCTACGTAGCTTAATGAACCGGCAGCCATCTTATCATGCCTAATACCAAGGTAATAAATTATGCTTGCTTTGTCATTGTTTACCAAATCGTTCTTGGCGATAATAATCTTGCAGTGGCACGTGAGACAGCAATCATCTTTGCACTGGGCACGGTAAGATGGCCGCTGGTGGCTTCATCCTACACAAGAGCATTGCGAGCACAGATTTCTTTAATATGACGTCTGCGTTGTGAGCGCCCCACACCTTACCAAAGATGGGGCAATACATGTACAGAAAAGGAGCGGCAGAGTCTACCGTTGCATTATCACTCCAAGTTGTTCAAATATAAGGTCTTGTCCGAATTATTGGGCAATGGCTTACGCCAATATCTTTCGGTTACTGTTCACTTTTTAGATTGATAATTAATTTGTAATACCCCCCCCTAAAAGTGGCCACGATGTCCATTTTCGTTTCTGAACATAACACCTCCACTCTATTGTATAAATAGACCATTTGTAGGACCCATTTCACATAAAATCAAGTTGTAAGTCGTGCTCACAATATCTAACTGCAACCCTCTTTAAGAAGAGACTCCTTAAGTCCACGGGTCACAGAATGTTCCCAACAGCAGAACAGGTTTTGTAGAAGCCCAAATCGTGATCTGCAATTAGAGCATGTGCTCTTTGTGACCTCAGTTTACCGATCTGCATCCTTTGGAGAGTCGAAAGTACTTCTTTCGATGTCGGTAAACGGTACATCCATTTTATCTGTGCAGGGATTACATGCGGGTGTGCGTCATAGAGTTGGATATCTAACTCAATAGTGTGCATACAGCAACTCCTGGAAAAAGACACAACTCTCTCCCAACAACCAAAAGTACATGTATTCAAAGTATTGATACTGAAGTTATTGCTTTTCTATGTAAAAAATATGGCACCTATGTTATGGTGCGTGAGAGTGTTACTGACTTTATATTGTGCATGGCGACCATATTTAATGTCAATGTTGCAGTCGGTTGTACCACTTTGGGTCCGGGTTAAAAAAAAAACCGAGTCCGATCAAGTCTCAAAATGTGTACTTGAGTCCGGACTGGTGTCCTACAACACACTGCACGGCAGCGTGGTACTCAGCGAGAATGTTCCGTCACCAGCACAAAATCATTTTCAACACAATAACCGAGGGATATTCCGGGTACTGCTTAAAAAGGTGCCTCGGTGCAGGGAAATCCAGAGTGGAAAGCTTGCCGAACCCCATGGAATCACTTGTGTCAACACCGCCTGGATGCTGATGCTTGTTAATTTGCCTTTCCTACCCTACAGTCTGATCGTTTATGGAGAAAAACGCGCTCACCAGCTCCTGGTTTCTGTACCGGCACGGATCCAAACAGAAACTGGGACGACCATTGGAACGGTAAGCCTTTTATGATGTTTCAGCGGGTTTTGCCCAGGCACTCGGGACCGCTTTGGGCCATGANTATTGTCTTTGCAAACCCCATAGCCACTGATGACTTTATTTTCAACTTCATTTCCCATGGTAACACCTATACAGAGAGACTCAAAAAACCTTTCTGATGATGATTGTCGCGGTGATGCGCCAATTTGAAGAAAGGGGTTGCAGCTAATTTTTTTTTATTCATCCCCACCCCCATTTGCCACTGACTTCAGTAATTTGTAAAAGCAAATCACTGAAATTCCATACGTGATTACCACTGAGTAAATCAACAATGAAGTATTCCTCGATTCGTGAAGTGTTGACTTAGTAATCAGTGGTGAGTCGCTGCGGCTGTGCTCAAGCTGATCTTGCGCGCACATATTAATCAACCTGTAGTCTCCTAGGTAAACTTATTCTCCACTTCATTCCAACAGCAACCCTTGATGGTTGAAACATTTCCGGCAGTATTCCAATTCAACGCAATCCGCCTTGAGCAGAAGCGCCCCTTCATAAATTGAAAAGAGCCATGTTGGTCAGGAGTGTTCATTTTGCTGGTAGCGACCAGCCCGTAACGCATGCATTTCATACTCGTTGGTCAACCAGCGAAGTGCTCTTCCTATACCAAAGGAGCCGCCGTCGCTAGAAAAAAATTGTGCCCTCTCCTGGTCCAGCTCATCGCCCATAGATTGAGTGCTCAAGGACTGTGTTTTGGTCGATTGCACAAGGTTCAAGTTAAGAAGATGGGCTGAAGGCTTAGGGTTATGGGTGATGGTTTGATATGTAAGCTAGGTTACCAAGTTAGGTTTGCTCTATTCAACGAAAACGCATGGCGTATTTTAGCCCTGGTACCCAAACTTCATTCAACTTACAAATGTCATTCAAATTTGTGACAACCAAAACCGGCTTATCATGACCTTGCTCTCAACGTCGTCACCGAAAACACCTTGTTTTTTCCCTCTCTCTTTTTCTCGGCTAGATCCAAATTCGAATACGAACCCCTGCTCCCAAACTTATCGGGGTTCATCTGCGTTCTCTGAGAAGGAGGTAAAGGCGATCTCAAACTACATTCTGTCAGTGAGAAGTCGGGTCAAGGTGTTCATAGACATGCATTGCTACAGTCAGATGTGGCTGAATCCGTACGGCTGGACAACAACACTTCCAGGGAACTACAATAATCAGGTAAAAAAATAGACCTGCATTTCAAAATCGTCTGGCAACATATAAATAGCGCCAACTTCAGACTTTGGAACCTGAATGGTTGTACATTATGCTCGCAGTATAGCATGAAGCTTTCGAGTGCTAACTGCCCTTGCGCACTGACCCATAATCCATCACCATTTAGTTCCAACCAAGGAGACAATCGTGCCGCAACTCTAACTCTTATAAACAGCTCTGCCGCCTTGAACAGAAGCACCCCTCACTCAGTAAACAGAGCATTGTTGGTGAGGAGCGTAAATGTAAACATGTAAATTTCATAGTCGTTTGTGAACCAGCGAAGTGCCGTTCCCGGCAAAGGAGTCTCCGTTGCCAGGCAAACTGCGCCCTCTCTTGGTCCACTTCGGGCTCATACAGAAGTGCCGTAACGGAATTCTGCGGGATAGAAACTATCCATAAGATTGAACATCGTCTCCTTTAGACCTTCATCACGATGCTGCCATGTTTGTCTCGTTCCCTTTTTAATTGCAAATTTAATTGATTAAGGGAGCAGTCTATTCTTCCAGCCTCAGTTTCTTTGCTTTGAATGCAGAAAAGCAAGATGGTTACCCCATAACAGAGGTCTATGAGGACTGTCCACAGCGAGACCAGAACAACCCCACGGGCGATGATTACCTGTTATTAAAACTATTTTAAATTCACAATGAGCAACTCGCGATCATGACTTGTAACTGAATGGCTTGAATTAGACATAAAGGGACTTGTTAGGACTTGTGTGATGGACTTGACTTCAACCGTGTGTGTAACTGGTATACAGTAAATGTATAGGATTTGCATGTCCACATTTGATGTTAAAGGATGCATTTACATCATTCCCTGGAGAAAAAAAACCCAGCAGGGAATGAACATTAAACTTGAGCGACTTTGTTGCTCATTAAATCTGTTAACACTTCCTTTCAGAAAAGCCTTGCTGACTCCGCTGTGGCAGCGCTGAGGGCGGTGAACGGATTGAGGTTCACGACTGGTAGCGTGGCTCGAGTCCTCTGTGAGTCTTGGCCCTCCACATTCACGTGCAAGTTCGATCAAGGACTGCGATCAACCACAATTCGACAAAAATCTGCTCGAACGCTTTCTGAGCTGACGAGCTGAGCCATTCTACTGAACCTACAATTGGACCATTCAGTACTGGGTTGATTCGTATCGTTTGGTATCAAAGCCGCACGACTACACCCGCATACTTACATGAGTTTTGTCAGGTGGGCAGCGGCAAGGTGTTTTATAAACTGAACTCCAATAGTGGTCAACTATAGTACCGGCATACCGGACCGTGGCTCCGTAAAGTTGACCAACTGTCCTTGATCGAACTTGCTCGCTCATCTCTCCTTCAGCTTTCTGCAAGTCAATTTTAGTTTACGCACTGATGTTTTAGTCAGTGTATGCTGATATCTTGTTACCTTTTATGTGACTCATAATACTAATTATCGAGTCACGAATTTGATTTGGTGCATGAAAAACATCTCAAAGATTAAAAAAAGGGTCACTTTAAGATAAAACCCGGGCGCGGAGCTAGTAGAAGGCCAACTACGCGTATGAGCATGTCTCATATCACAGCAGTAAACAACTGTTAATTCACGTTCTGCCAGTAAGTCCATAAGATAAAAGTCGTGAAATTGATTATAACAGCGACAGATTATGGCCTTTTGAAAAAAATAGTTCAGTTCAATGTGAATTTGACGTCACGAAAGATTACCAGCCAAATTTTGCTTGAGTTGGAATGTGTTCAGCTTTTTGAAATTTCGCGAACAAATTTATTTCGTGTTTGTGTTCGCTTTCGCACGAAGTAAAAACCGGCCTGGCCTGTGAATAAAATGGATACCAGGCGAAATCAACCAGCGAATGACAAATTGTCGCTAAACAAACCTGGCCATTACTGCTTGCACATACCCATCTTTTATTATTGAAACAATCCCGACAGACACGATGCATTTCCTAATAGCACTCAAAGTCAACTCTCTTGCAACCACGACCTGTTGTTTGTGGGAAAACTAATTGAATAGCTTGCTTCCTTTTGAAGGGTCTGCATTGTGGGCGTCGGATGACAAAAATCAGCGGGAGAAAAATCATGCATGCGCGTACATGACTACGATTCTCACGGGTTGACTTTCTCTTTCCGGTTTAATGTTTCAGATGCGGCCCCCGGCTCCAGCATTGACTGGGCCTACAGTAAGGCCGGCATCCCCTACAGCTACACCCCCGAGCTCAGAGACAAAGGCAATTACGGTTTTGTTGCCCCAAAGTCCGAGATCATCAAGAGCGCCAACGAGGTCTTTGCGGCCTTCAAGGTCGTTGCAAAGAAAATAGCTTAGATCCAGGCTGGGCAGGTTATAGGCAGAGCACGCCGTTGTAAGATCCTGACCCACTTCGGTATTTTGATTTCAATAAACGAAAAATTAGTAACGAGGTAAAAGAGAAATTTCATGACCTGTTCATTGGTCAGGAATCATTATTTGAAACTGACTGCTTGGTGGCAGCAAACACTTCATGTCAAGCCACTCTAGACCTGAAGCGCATTCCAGAGCATACTCAAAGCGTCGGAGACTCACATAATTATTCTTTCAGTGCGGTGCATGGTGACGTGTAGTTAAAAACAAAGAGATGATATGATACATCATCAAATTGAAACGGTATTTATCACAAATCCAGCTTCTTACTGGTACGTTGCTCAAATTCCGAAAAAATAAAACAATGCAAGGAATGCAAATTTAGCTTTTGTGTCTCAACTTTTTTGAGTGGAGGAAAGTATTTCATGTGGTCAGTGCCCCTGACCTGTACTGCGGGCCAACATTCTCAGGACTGCAGAAAATGTTGCTAAACGGAATTTTGGTGTTAAGCAAAATCCACAGGGAGTCAGTCACCAAAGATACACACAGTGACACTTTGGTTAGTAACCCGTGTTTTGCTAAGCGGAGTATTTTCATTGCTTAGCAGCTCTGTAAAAAACATTAACAGCTTATAAGCAGAAAACAAAAGGCTGTGTCTGAGTTACGGCTGCGGCTAGAACTTACACAAGTTATGCGCATGTAGAAGGCACTGGCTGGCGTCTTTACAACCACTTCCCAAAGGCATACGTGGTCGAGTTCGAGCGGCCTGTTCTTGACACGGGTTTCTTGTTCTCGCGCTCAAACTGCGGGAACACAACTCAAGAACACTGTTCTCGGAACAGGTTCGCACACCACCTCCTCGTCGGGGTTTTACGGGAACACACGGAAAAACTCATGAGATTTTGATTTTTGAACTGCTGCTAAAAGTAGAGAGATGGCATCCAAAGCCACAGACAATGGGAAGTTTTGCGAAATTAACATCAATTATTTTGAGCATAAACACAGAAATGAATGTTCCTATTTAAATAGAAAAGAATTCAGCCCATGAACATTAATTCTCGAATAACGTACATGGCCGCCGCCATGTTGCATGTTGCTTGTCACTAGCTACCAGCAATAACCAGTTGTCTGTTCCCGGCGTTCAAGCGGCCGACCCACGAACAACAAACCAAGCCGTTCGTGAACGAGAACAAACCGACTGAACTCACCCACGGTGTTACCTTTGTCGTGCTCTGTGAGAATGGAAGACATTTGAGACGCTTGGTGGCGGCTAGCACTATAGTGTAGTCTCTTCGGGTTGCACTATACACACACACACAAAAACGCTCCCAAAGAGGTTGGCCTCACGTATTTGACGTGAAATTTAAGATTACGATCAAAAGTCCACTTTATTTTATTAGTCTGGTTATCCATAATTTACGAATGTTAAAATTTGCCCTTCCCCAAAAACACCACCAAATGTGCGCTCAGCTCTGAATGTAGCCGCCCGCCTCTGTACAGAATAGGCCAACAGGTTGGAGGTTTTTGTGAACGAAATATCCAAAGTTTGTGAAAGCCAGTCCACAAGTCCCAAAGTCGTGATTTATAGAAAGCTCTATGATTGGTCCCTATTATGGAACCTTTTATTATAAATAACCTGCGGGATCACAAAATATTAATGAGCCTGCGCGCAGAAATCTACCGATTTAGTGGAATGCACCCTTTATAGGTGTACATGCAGGCTGTTAACGTTGGCTGTCAGTTTGAAAACGTGGAAGAAACTCCAAAAATGCGTGGGAGAGGAGCAGCAGAAAACAGTATGCGTACAGACATGGCCGGAAATACCCGAACATCAACGATGCTATCCGAGTGTGGACGGGACGAGTTTGGACTATTCCGGTTATTTTCGGAAAATGGAGGAATTCCCTTGGATTTGGTCACGTGGACATGGGGTGATACCAGACCCTTGATTCGACAGGGATAGTCGGAATCATCGGGACTGGTGTCCAGATTACAAAGGGAACCTTGTCGTTACAGTGGCTCACACCTAAATTTTAGCCTAGGTTGGGCGCCAATCTTTCATCAGAACTAACGTAGTGTTAACCTTGATGATAATGCGGCATTCGGCAACTTTTCCATGGTACAACTACAAGTAAGCTTGCGTGCAATTCAAATCGGGAAACATGGCTTTATGTTGACCGAGAAGAGTGGGTTTTTCGGACCGGAGTGGCCAAGCCCTCATGGGTTCAGTCGTCAAAGCCTTGTCTCAAGGCATTCGTTAAATTGGAGCTTTGGCCTCGGCGGACGTACCACGAACCCCAAGGTTCTTAAGGCAGTCATAACTTACACAATTATATTCATTCAGGCAAAGGTCAAAATGTTCAACTCTGAATCATGACATCAGTTATTCCTTTCTCAATGTTTTTTCCCTGCATCCCCACGAGCTAGAATGCTATTGGTGACCTGGCTTGTGTAATGAGCCAGTTTTGCAATCCTATCGCGCATGTGTGATGGGTAATTCGGACGCGCGTACAAGGTATGCCCCTATCAGTGCGGCCCTACACGTATTCGCGAGCTTTGTTCCCGAATGACCTTGCTTTTTTGAAATACTGAGCTGGCTCATTGCGTTTTGAACTTTATTTGACGTGTTTGATTCATTAGACCGCTGCATTCTGATGAATAATTACTAATACAACCTAAAGGTTTTTTCGGAGACAACGATTACTTTATTGACCTTTTTGTTGGGACAGTATGACAGTAATATAAGGAAGCCTTCTCTTATGGATACTCCATTTTAACTAGTCTTAATCGTCTGTGAAGAACGTCTGGGTGGAAATTCACATGAACTTCGTTCTACAGAAATTTTCATGTAGGCTCCTTTCTATAAACACTTGAAGTTCTTGTTGTATTTAGGACCCGTACAAACAGCTAGAACATGCTTGACAAGCTGAAACTCATTTTAAGAACTGTTCTGAAGTGAGGGGAACCTTCACACTGATTGTCATGCTGCAAATTGGCTTATTACAGTATTAATGGCATTATATATTAAGTTTGCATTCATCCTGTCTACCCCAACGATGAGGTGATGGCAAAAAGAAGGAAATCGCTGAAATATCACCGTACAATTTTTGTTCTCTCTAAAGTATTCTTGAAGTACCGAACTACATGTATTATAAATGTGGCAAAAATCTGATCAACATAGAAATACATGCACTATCATTTCATGTTCACTGACAACTATGACAAAATACCCCCTCCCAACTTAAAGTTCCGTTTTTATTTGAGAGTAGTTTTCAAATCCTTAGTCCCGCTGCTTGGGCTACTTTGAGCTTCTGTTTGCCCCTTAGCTTCCTTTACTTTCTTCGGCTGGACCTCCTTCTTGCGAATCGTCTTGACAACTTTCTGCTTGAGTTCATCAAGGGTCAAAGGCTGAACCTCGTCTTGGACTGGCTCCTCTACCTCGTCCGCAACTATGTATACGCCCTCTTGTGGCCTGTAAATGCAAGTATATTTATAACTAGCTAAAATGCCCTCTTTGCAGAAAAAAATAAGGTTACAATTAATTCCTTCCTATATTTTGGTACTTGAGACGGCTCAACAGGGCAATAATTAGCTCCTCTTTTAATATGATTGAATCTGCATCACTGTGAGGTACCTTACCTGTGAGGGCAGATATGGTTATGTTTAAACGTTTGTACCTGATATGGTAGCATTGGACTAGTATACTCCCAAGGGAGCTGAGATGGTTTCAAGACTGTTCAGATGTTGTGAGCCCAAACTGCAGGGATAATGACTTTCAGCGCATAGAGACATTTTTTAGTTTTATGCACTTTATACGAACTGTTCACGATCGAGTTGGTTTGTGAAATGTTTTTCCTTGACAACTTTCAGGGAGCACTTGTTTATCGTTTCATTAATTTCTAACATCAAAACACAGCAAACTGTCCAAATTGACTCCACAAATGTCGCCAACTAAAAAGAGTGTCTGCAATACTTGGGCAGAGCTAGTCTTTCTTGCTTTAAACTTGAGTGTAGGCTTCAGTTGAGCTGAGGGCGGTGTGGCCTTTTATTTTGGGTTCGTGACGCACGATCAGAGGGTCGGGTGTTCGAATTCAGCCCTGACCACAAGTTGTGACCTTGTGCAAGTCACCTCATCCCTTCTTGTCTCTCTCAACCCGGGAGAATCAGTGGGTAATGGAATTTGCTAGGGAGCAAGCGCAGATGGACTTGCGTTCCAATCAGGAAGGGTAAACATACTCTTTGTTATTTCATGCCGAGGAAACCGGAGATCAATATCGACGGGCCAAATTGTCTCGGGTAAACTATGGACCACTCTCATTTTGCCTGCAACTTATATGGGCGGCCAAAACTTGCAGAAATATCACCTTTTAGTTGGTTTTCGATTTTACCCCAAATTGTTTGAAGTGGCCACTTATCCCATAAATTTTAAATAGGGTTGCATTTTCATTCAATACTCATTAGTACGTGTATTATTACTCTTTCACTTTTGTCCCGACGGCCAACCATAGTTTTAGCAGCCACTTGTAGCAAAAAACACACATCTGACGTCAAAAGAGCAGACCCTTAATGCTGCTATTGCTAAGATCTGGTTTTCTGAAGAAAAAAAAAAGAAACATCCACGGTCTTTTTTCACTGCATACACTTCTCACGCAAGCAGAGTTGAGAGGGGGCGCCACAACACGCACACTAGTAGTGAGGCGGGGAACACTTACTCTAGCGAGGGCGGCATGATAGAAATGCTGACACGGGGTGCTGGACGCAGCCTGGCAGCCACGATGCTACCAGTGGGTTTTGGCTGAAGAGTTGGCTGGACCGCGTCACCCTTCGAGGCATGAACTTCCTGCAGATGACCAGGGAGCGAAAATAGTCCTTGTTCAAATATTGACATCAAGATCGACTGTGAAGTGCCTGGCTCATCTGAGCACCAGGGGCTAACTGGACTGGTGTTTAAATTTTCTTCTGTTTTTGTGATTGATAGACTATATATATTTTTTTCAAGAAGCAACCTCCTTTGGTGAATAGAAGGTTTTACCATTACATCTGAGATATTAATAACCTTGTTTACTATTCAAACTGGGCACAGGCAACTTGGGATTTGACAGTGTCAATTTCGGCGTCAAGAATCTACCATAACGTGCAAATTCATAAAGTGCTCATGAAAACCTTCTGCTCTATAATATGGGTCTACGAACTCATAAAAAAGAAAAAAAAGACAGAACTATAGGTTGCTGTATTTTTGTACCCATGGAATCTTCATTTCTATCTTCCAGCTTGTGTTAACAAAAATTGCAATATTCAAATTTCTTATTTGCCATTTCCTTAGACTTACATATATTTATGTCAAGTTTTCACCTCAAAGTTACAATTGGCAGATCTTTAATAATAATGCACATGCTCAATTGAAGTAGTAACCTTGCTGACAAGAAGCATGCTTGCAAGTATACTAGGTATACGTAACCGGATTTGAATTACCTCTCTGGAAAGTTTTACAAAATGCACATGTGATCCCATTAAAGCGCTGCAGCCTCAAGGTTGCGACTTCCCTCATTTCCCACAGGTTAATACGTGTCATTTCCAGCCACAGCCATGTTTAATTCAGAAGTGGCTAGCGCATTGATCGCTGGTAAGATCAGAACCCACCTTCAACTGCAGGAAGTGTTGTATCAGCATCAGGTCATTGGTAGTCTGCTCGATCTGCCCTAGGTACATCATGATATTCCGGGCCGAGATACCCCGGCCTGACCCCAGCAGATCGCAGATGGCCGTGTCGTCGCAGCCCAGCCGGCGGAACGTCCGGTCCACCGCCGTCTTCAACTGGTCGAGTAGCTTGCCCGATCGTTTCAGGCGCTTTTCGTACAACTTGCATTGGCGCTCGGCAGAGGTGAATCGTGTCTATTTGAACAAGAAACTTAGGTTAATACCGCGGTATATGATTAGAAATCATTTCTTCTCCGATTGTTTTACCTTCCTAACAAACTTCACAGGAGAGGAATCACTTCCCCAGCGACAACATGCCGACAACTAGAACAGCCTACTTTGATAATGTTTTAACTTCCTAATGAGAAATGTACACACAGTGAGAGTAAGTTTTCAAACATCATTTTGCTTGTATAGGCTAATTAATGAAGGGCAAATTCGTTATCATGTCAACTTACCAAGAGTGCCGAAATATACTGCTAGAATTGCCGTAGTTTCCTAGGGCTCTTTTATGTCATATCTTAGACCCTTTCTCTATAGTGAGCGACATTTTGTCTCGGCAGTAGTATGTACATTTTGCAGATGGTAACACCGTATGAATTGGTAAATTGTTGATAGTGAGTGTTAAGTAATGTTTCAATTGTGTAAAAAGAAGCACTTTTGTATGTTGGCTGTTCGTATAGTTTGTCAAACTTTGGCATACACGTTGTTAAAGACAGACCTGTATTACGACAGTATTTAACTTAAAAAAATGAACTTAGGAGCTTACTCTCGGATTATAAATACAGTTCACAAAATGTTATTTTCCTCCAACACTTACTTCAAGTTCCTTCAGGATGTTCTGTCTGCTTTGGTCCAACTTCATCCCTTGCTTCTGGAAGGCTTCAATGTCGGCGTTGAGGGCGCCGATCACATCGTGCAAGACTTCCACCTCGCTGTTCAACTCATTGACGTAGTTGAAGAGTGCGAAGTTCACGTCTTCCTTCTTAATGAAGTCGTGGACCATTCGGTCCAGGTCGTTTTGGCCAGTGACACCGCGGACTCTCTCGAACGCCCGCTCAAATTGCTCAATCTCTTCTTTGTGAGCACGCTCATTGGCTTTCTTGTCTTCTGTGGAGGTAACAATCAAAAGGGACAGGTAAACAATTTCAAAGCACGTGAAAGTTTCACCTGATAAATTAGGCGGGTCGTTATGTCCTTGAACATTAAATTTCATAGACAAAACACATAGGTAAAATTTAGTAAGGGATGGGCTAGGGGTAAGATTCATGTGAAACTGAAAAAAAAAACAGTTTGAAAGATTCTCCTGTTTCTATTGCACTTTCGTTCACGTAATACTATGAATAAGGAATTCAAACTAACTACAAGTCCAACTTTTGCGTGATAATCACATCATCATGCAAAATTTCATCAATCCATTTTAAAATACGTTGTGTGCTAATTTTGAGGGTGGGTATAAATGGATGTTGACGCTTTTTTGCATTTTAGTAACATTTCAGAAGAGAGTGATTCTTCGGCTGTTCTTCCATACTCACACCGTTTTCCAAACGCGCGGGTGGTTGTCGATTTTTTTTTCACAAAATAAAATGACCCTGTACAGTACTGGGGGTTGTTTGCCGCCACGATTCATCCTAATATGTGTACTTTTTGATGATCGTAATTTTGCCCAAGCGGGAATGACGACCTCTGCCACTGGTTACACAAAATCCATCCAAAGCAATTGATAGCTCAAAGCAGACTTGTAGATCGTCAGTCACAAGTCAGTCCACAAGTCAACTCACAAGCCATTTCACAAGTCAGTGCGGAAGTAAAGAATCGAAGAATAACAGAGGAATACCTTTGCAACAGTTCATTTTAAATAGCTGTCGAGTTGACTTCTTGCTGAATGACTTGTGACTGACTTGTCGTGACTTGGAATGACTTGTGACTGACTTGATTACAACTCTAGCTCAAAGCATGCCACCTTGGGCTCTTTGATATGAGTGGTGGTTGCCAGCGAACCTTTCTTCTTCCGCTTGGCAGCCTCGATTGCTTTCATCTCCGTCCGTTCTTGGCACTTGACCGCCATGAAGTCCTTCAGCTTCTGGTCGTGGTCAATGATCCGCTTGAGTTCCTTGATGTCAAAGCCGTACAGTGTCTGCTCCCTCTCCGATCGCTCGCGAATAGCCGACATCTTCGCCTGAGCTTCGTCTCTGGGAAAAACAAATATACAACACCGCAAAAAGTCAAATAAAAGACATTATTTACTTCGCATTAAATGCAAAAATATCATTAATGCCGTCGTTCTATCGCATATTATCTGTTGCTGAAGGTAGTCAACGATTCTGCTGTACTTTGTGCATAACAGATCACAGCACAAGTTCTATCAGTATGCCACTGCACTGCATAACAGATCACAGCACAAATTCTATGAGTATGCCACTGCGCACGCGAGTTTGATCACTGGTGGCGGAAGCTGGGGGTACAGGGGGCCACTACCCCACTGGGGAGGGGTAGGCACCCTCCACCTTTGGCAGGTTCTTTAATGGATTATGCCTGATGGTCTCACAAATTCCCCCATCCCACTTTGAAAATCATTCCTCCACCATTGAGTTTGATTTTTATGCGTACAACAATAATTCCCTTTACTAGGCAACGGTACCTCAGCTCGTGTTTTGATGGGCTTGGCTGGCCACGAGATATTTTTCAGACGACACTATATGCTACTCATTTAAGTCCTTTTAAATTGCGTTAGTACCGCAAATAGGACTACTTTCGTTCATAGCCTCTGGCATCAACACAAGTGGCCCATCAGAGCTCCCCCGCCGCCACCGCCGTCGCTTGACCAACCCCTCCCCCCACCATCACCACGGCCAGCCCCTACCTCATATCATAAGCTGCGGTAGCCTCCTCAATCATTTCGGTGATCCTACATTTCAGCTCGTTCTGCTCCTTGCTCAGTATGCGGTACAGCTTGTCGTAGATGGCGCGTTCCCTCCTCAGGTGCTCGATTCGTTCTCGCAGCTCCAGGTTCTTGGTGAGCATCGTGTTGAATGCAACTGTTGCCTTCAATTTAAAGGGGGGGGGAATGACCCAGATATCAGGCAGGTCGATATTAAAACTTTGTGACTCCGTAGTAGCCAGCGATGATGCATTATGAGTATCAATTCAGGTCAACAGATGATTTTCCACGTATAAAATTCTGAATTTGCTTTTGCTTCCATGCATTTTCAAGGATCGAAAAGTCTTTTTCCCATGGAATGGAATACTTTTCATATACAGAAAGAATGTAGTAATATTAAGCTCACACTGCTGGACAGCTGCGTGGTGACATCTCACGAAGGTTACGCTTATGCAGACGTGACACGTTAGATATTGGCATACCTTGTCTAGCCGGTTTTCCAGGACTCTGATTCGCTTCTGGGTGCTCACGTGACGGATACTGTCCACCTGGAAACCACCCAAATCTTTGTACTTCTTTTGAAGCATGCGCTCAAGCTCTCTGACCTGTATGTACCGATACGGTCATTGTTAAGTATTCATTTCTCGGAAAAGCGCGCTTTATAAGTTGCAACTTACAACGAGTGAAACTTTCTAACTTCTATCCATGAAGTCGCGTAGTGTGAATGTTTAACGGAAGTACTGTAACTTGCAGCGCTTACAAACAATTGAACGATTTTCCTTTACTCGATTCCGCTCTTTTTCACGGTGGGTTTAAACTCCGCCCCTCCACCGTGCTAGATGTCTGTCATGTGCTAGAAATTTCGGCGCCATTAGAAAAAAGGTATATTGATCAAAATTTTTAGGTATTTGTAATTTTAAATTTGTTTCAGTTTTCTGACTCAAAAGGAATTTTAGGATAAGAATGAAATATGTGCCTGGCCTGTCTTAAGTAATGTCAACCCTTATGCATTAGTCGCGTCCCAAGGAATGTTAAGACCGGTAAAGCATATACAATCTCTTAGCACATCTCTGATTACTGCAGCCGCCAATCGGCGCTTAAAATTCCTTTTTTTAATGTCTAAACAGAGTTTTCCGATGAAGCCTCAATAGACCATTTTCAAAGGAAAATCATTTGTTTTGCAATCCCAGAATCTATCTCATTCAATGTAATCTGTTACATGGGGGTGGCCCCGGACTAGTTTGGGTTCCATGCCTCATTTTCATTTAAAAAACATGACTTTAAACATTTTGATATAAATAATCACAAATTTTAAATTATTCATCAGCATAAATGACATTCTCAGGTGTCAGAATAAAGAAAACCTCGCTTTCAATTCAATATGACCGATTTGTGATTAAGGCCAGTTACCTTTTCATCCAACTTGGTGATAACACCCTCTTCCTCAGCTACGGTCGCTTTATCTTCTTGGTAGAGTGCCAGCAGTTTCTGAAGGCGCTGCATGTTGGCCTTGTCCTTCTTTAAATTGGTCTGGTTGAGAGCCAGTCTGAGGTCAATGTCGATTTCCTGTCCCTCTTCACTCAAGGAATCAATGTGGGACCTAACACAGTCAAGCATGAAATCCACATTTTGATGTTAAGTCAAATTGCTCAGTATATAGGGTTATATTAACAAAAACGTCAGCAGAAAGCTTGATATGGAACTGTTTAATCAGTGAGCTCGACCTCTATACTATATCATCTTAACTTCATTCACAAAACCCCCTGAAATTCAGAACTCTCGAATTAATAAAAAAGATAAGTAATGTATGCACGCTATGAAAGTACCAACTGAAAAAGTCCTTATGTTATTGATTTTACCCTTCTTGAGGGACTGAACTCGACTTTACCTAAGGTTTTCAATTCTATTCATGATTTAGCGTCCTAAGGTGAGTCGGTTGCGGCTCAATGCAGCGCCAATTTCGGTGACAGAACTTGTTTTATAAATATAAAAATAAAATAAATGACTTTTCCCTCCTACTCTGTTCCTCAACAAAGATCGCTTTTAACAGTCACAAAATCCGATATTCAAAGAGGTTTTTAAATCATTGCTCAGTAAATTATTTCAGTTCATAATGAAGAACATAGTTCACATCAAGAGAGAGACATCTGAAAGTTCCAGAACATAAGACGGTTCATTTGCGGGAAGGAAAAGTATTATGGAGATGAAAAGGGGAAAATGGGAGGAATAATCTCACTTCTGTTTCCTGATGATGTTCCTTGCTTCCTCGAAGTAAGTCTTCCGGTGGCTCTCCACGATGCGGTACTGGCGGTGCAAGCGAGCCAGTTCCTCCTCGGCCAGTCGCTGATCATTCTCCTGTTCTGTCGGAGAGTCCACGCGCTTCATTGCAGCTCGGTTCATTTTGGCTTTCATCTCGAATTATGTTTTTACTTCCTAAGACAAAAAGCGGTATTGTTTAAGGCTTAACGCAGCGAACAGGATGCAGGATCGATGTTTTCAGGCAACATACACATAACATGAGTGTACTCAAGAGGTAATGCAAAAGTACGATTTTTCTCAGGACAGACAAAGATTATTAACAAAGAATGAGGAAAAAATAACATTTTTTTTCTTCCCCGAAATCACTGTGTTAATATTGTTTACTGTAGGTAAGCCCTATAACGGTTATTATTACTTGTTTATGTCCAAATAATTGATAAAAAATAGGTTTTATCAATGTGAGCCCATAAATGCCCATTTACTGCATCTCAGTACTATTTTCTGAACATTTATGCAAGTTTATTTTGGGGATTTCGTGGATGTTGGTACACTTACCCTTTAAGAGCAAAGTACGGTTTGTCCTGTTTCTCCAAGTTGTGTTTGGTTTGTGAAGATAGTGGATGTTTGGTTGGTAGTGGCAACTTTTTTTCGTGCGTGTCACGATACGAATACGGGTATTGTTACGAACAATAACATTAGCCGCGTCTGATATTAACGTGCGCCTAGTGCGAGAGGGCGCTATTCAGTTTCTGTAAACTTGGTGCTCTCAAAATCATAGCCAGATATAGTCTTGCTCCTCGTTCGCCTCATCCAACCATAGAGCTAGGTGTCCCTAACTCTATGATCCAACTTACCCAAGATGCATTGGAGTACCGCTATTTTACCACGAAGGAAGCTCACCATCTCAATTTACCCTGTTCAAACGATATGATCTGCATTTAAACAATGAATAAACATGTACAATGATTTGGACCCATCTCAGACAAAACTTAGTCAAACCATGGGCTGGCAGTAAGTATGTGGGCAAAAGGAAACACTTCAATTGTGAGGGAAGTTTGGTAAAGAAATAAAATACATGTAAAACGTGCAAATCACTTGAAAAAATTGAAAAGGTTTTCAGGCTAAATTTGGGCGCCTCAATAATACATCGCTGTTTTCGTGCACTTTGCACATAAACTCCCACTGTATACGTACATGATCACAACCTCTACGCTTTAAGGCTTACACAGATACTAAAGATCGATATATTGGTTTTTTCTGCTTTTCTTTGGGACGCACGAAGTTCCATTTTTTTTGTTGACAAAAGTTGGCCTTGGATTGCGAGTTGTGCCGCATCCGGAACGTGTTCATGTTTTACTTAGGCCCACTGTAGCTAGATATGTACTTGTGTGAATGAAGGTTGCTGGAAGAATCACATGGTAGAAACGGACCAATGAGCTTCAGTCCTTGAACCCACAGCTTTCAGAGCAACATGGCGGAGTTTGCAGGTTCTGGGGCCGAAGCCAAATCAGGTTCAAACAGTGAAGTTATCCGTGGGCAGGTTTTTGATGTTGGCCCGCGATACAGCGGACTTTCTTACATTGGGGAGGGGGCCTACGGTATGGTATGGTAAGTTTACACCTTTGCCAGTTAATTGTGAAGGAAGCGCCGAATCCTGGCGCTGTGGAGCTCGGCTTACAGCTCTGCACGCACAGTGTGACTGCACTATACAGCTGTAGGCTTAGCTGTAGTGTAAGTGTAATTGTTACAGTCTCTGATGTGATGCAGATACCCGTTTTATCAGAGTCACACATCGAGAATTGCCAGGCTATTTTGGTCATTTTGCCAGTAGGCCTACTCAGTAGGCGCAGTTCCATGTAGCCTAGGCCTACTGTGTCACTGTCAGCATGCGTCATGTATGTGTGTCAAGTGTACCCCCAGGACTGTGGGACATCCGCCCTGCTACCACACTCGGGAGCGGGGCGGACGTCAAACCGACCCCACAGCTACTGGGGTAGGCCCTATGTCGGGGTTTGTGGGGAGGAGGGGGTGGCAAAACCCAGCTGTGACTTAGTGAGATTTTTGTGTATCCACAGACAGTCATGACACATTTTTGCATTGACCATGAATGACATATTGACAAAAGTCTGATGATTGTTGAGGCATAATCATAAGTATGGTGTTTGCACCCTGTTCTTACATGTCCTATGTAGTCCAAGTAACTTGGTAAGTCTTAGACTCTTCAAATAGCCTTTTTAAAAAATTGGATATGGTCGGGCGATTTTCTATAGGCTTTCCTTTCCATGAATTCATTTCACTCAAAAGAGCTTGTAGGACTACCCTGAATATGCTAAATCAAAACCCTCAGAATTCACTCCAAACAGTCCCAAAACTGTCTAATGTGCCCACTTTAGGATTCAGTTGGAATCAGAGATTCCAATGGTGGTGGTAAGGTTTACTCACAAAAGAGAAATCGTAAAGCTCATCAGAAGAGTTCCAAGTCGTTGTCTTCTTCATATACATAGTGATTCAAACTGTATGTTAACCCTCCTATGCTGAAGTCACTTTTTGGGTCAGTTGGTAAACAGCTCAAAGAAGCACAGCTGTGTGGTGTTGTGCACTGCACTAACTGTCCCTCACAGGAAT